GAGGACTGTTTGACTATTTGAAAATCTCTTTCATGGACTATTTTAATGTATTGTCTCAATGTGAGTTTTGATGTAGTGTCTGTCTTAGGTTATGGTTTTGTATGAGTAATTATTACCGTGTAATGATGTAATAATTAGGGGCCGCAATATTGTGGACAGGCGTAGCGCGGGATCACATGGTGTTATTAGTGATTATAGATCGCCTGTTGCTCACCGGGGTGACTTTAGTGAACAGGTGATGGGGGAAGGTTTACTTTTGCTGACTGTCTTAAGTTAGTATATTTTTGTCTTTAATCACTGTTTTTCCTAAAGATCTGTTTTTATGCTGCTTGGCCACTGTTTTGTCTTGAATACTGACAAAAATAAATCATCTTAAATGCATTCTGGCGCGTCAACAAGGATTCCCCTATTCAGTCGCTAATGATTCAAATACTTCAGCCAATCAACACATTCTTAATAAAGATTATTTTTTTCATGATCCCATTTATGTTTGGTCTTGAAAGCCTCTTGTTTTGGAGCAATCCACGTCTCTATCAAACCCGTATAAAGGTTGAAATCAATTTAAATCTAGTATGAAAGTTGAATTTAGGTTCATTTAAGTTTTTAACCTTGTCTAAAAATAATGCAAAAATACTCTAATTAGACTAAAATGTATTCATATTTTTAAGGATTGGCAGCATTTTGTAAAAATCCAATGATGGTTAGAAATGTTTCAGCAAACAGAACTTTTTAATATATTTATTTGAGAAAGATGGGTGAATCAGCTTTTGTTTTTTGCAGCACTCCTTAAAGGCAGTCTAGTAATGGTTTAAATGTATTGTAAAGTCCAATTTTAAGTTTAGTTTTACATATTTTTCCAGAAGCAAACCTGTTCTTAATTAATTTGATCAATTTAAAATTTTGTATAACATATTATGTGACAGGGGCTGCACAGTGTGACAGTGGTGCACCCCCACACAGCCATACTGTTCTGCACTTTGCCATAATTGGACCTACTGCTTCTTCCTTGGTGTGGTTGAGTGCCTTTAGTTAATTTTAGTTGTATATATTGTTATTATTATTATTGTGTGTTTATTTTATTTATTGTATATATTTGCCTTTTTGCACGGGAGTTGCAATAGAAATTTTGTTGAATCCTGTTCAATGACAATAAATGCTATCTATCTATCTATCTATCTATCTATCTATCTATCTATCTATCTATCTATCTATCTATCTATCTATCTATCTATCTATCTATCTATCTATCTATCTATCTATCTATCTATCTATCTATCTATCTATCTATCTATCTATCTATCTATCTATCTATCTATCTATCTATCTATCTATCTATCTATCTATCTATCTATCTATCTATCTATCTATCTATCTTGGTAGCTCTGCTGCCTTGCTGCAAGAAGGTTCTGGGTTCAATTCCCGGCCGGGGGTCTTTCTGCACGGAGTTTGCATGTTCTTCCTGTGCATGCATGGATTCCTCCGGTTCCTACCACAGTCCAAAAACACGACTGTTAGGCTAATTGGTCTTTCTAAATTCTCACTAGGTGTGTGTGGTTGTTTGTTCTGTTTGCGTTTCCCTGCGACAGACTGGCAAAAATGTTACTGTATAAACACTGCAACATTAAGTCATTAGGTTTATACATTAAGTGATTTTCAAAGAAAGAACTTAATGTGGTTTAGAAGCTTTGAGGTTGATTATTTTGTTTTTAAGTAAAGAGAAAAGATCAGAATCTACAATTTAGTTAAAAATTTGTATTGGTTTCCTTAACAATTGTTATTCGTCATTATGAATATTAATTTTTATACATTCCTTATCATTCTACAAACTAAAGAAAACAATTTCTATTAACTTTCAATATTTAAATATAAAAATATCATGTTTTAGTCTGCTCGATTATTTTATAACTAATCATTCTGGAAAGCAGAATGATTGGATAGTTTCATTCAGCAGATAGAAGAAAGCATTCCTTTCTTCCTCAAGTCTCTGTGAAACCCAAAGAAAAGGGTGATAACATTGAGCATTTATTGGAAACTAAAGGTGGAAACAAATCCAGGAGGTGGGAGGAGCTAGGAGGTGTCAGACAGTTCATAGGTCGACTGTAGGAAGTCCGACTTCCTCCTTACACTGTTAAAATTCACGTAGAGCAAACTATAATTTTGGTTGTCAAAATATCAAAAATAAAAATTACCATCTAGAAAATAAATCAAGATCTCAAATCATCTCATGCAATATTCCTTTAGAAACTTAAGTTGTGTAATCAAACACTCACTAATTTTAGTCTAGTAAACAATTTTTATCAAACACAAAACACACAAACATTCACTCAAACATGAAACAGAGAAACAAATGGTCAGAATTTGGAACCAGTCAAAATTTTAACATAGTCAAATATTACAGTTTGAAGGTTGAATTTAGGTTGGTTTAAGTCCTTATTTTGTTTCTTTTCTCAAATTGTAATTATCAGATTTACTGAAGCTTCAAAATGTTCTCAGTTGTCTTTTAACAACATATTTTAATGTTTGAATTCAACTCTAATGTACAGGATCCTGCTGTAAGTTTTAAGCTATGTGTGCACATACAAAAGAGATCTAAATATAATTTAAGGATTACAGCAACCAATTTATCAGGTTTTTGCTGAAGCGCTTCATTAATAATAAAAATAATGAATAAAAAAATTAATTACAAAAATAGACTCCAGTTCTAGAACAAAACTTCTTTCAGTTCAAATTTATCACAGCTGAATTAAATAAAGATTTTCTTCTCCATCCATCTATTTTCTAACATCCTTGTCCATAATGGGGTCAGGAGGTGCTGGTGCCTCTTCAGCTAACGTTCCAGTACAACCTGGACAGATCGCTGGTCTGTCATAGAGCAACACAGAGACAGATGAGACAAACAACCATGAACACACACACGCACACACACTCACACCAAGGGAGAATTTAGAGAGACCAATTAACCTGACAGTCATGTATATCAATGATTAACTTAAACAACCCCATACTAAACCTTTTTGAAAATAGCATTTCAAAGAAACAAACCATTGTAATCAAACACATCCCCAAAGAAGCTTTACTTAAATGTCTTGTTGTACATCTACCTGCTGGAAAACAAACAAAAAATCCCAATGTTATTGATGATTGCTCCTTATTTACCACAGTTACATTAAAATACACTCCTGATCAAAATCTTAAGACCAGTCAAAAAATTGCAAGAATTTGCATTTAGAACTATTGGATCTTAAGAAGGTTCTAAGTAGAGCTTTACAATGTTAAAAGAAGAAATCAGCGTAAAAGACAAAAACTTTTGAGCGGGGAATTAATTGAAAACTGCATTTATTCTCAAACATGATTTTTTCCACCTGATCAAAAGTTTAAGACCATATCTCAAAAAAACCCGAAAACCCCCCAAAAGAGAAATCAAAGTATCAAAAAAAAGGACTCAGTAATGAGTAGCTCCACCATTCTTGTTGATGACTTCAAACAATCGTTTAGGCATGCTTGATGCCAGTGTTTCCAGGAGGCTAGTGGGAACATTGCTCCAAGTGTTGAAGATGGCTTCACGAAGGGCATCCACTGTCTGGAACTGATGTCCATTTTTGTAAACTTCCCTTGCCATCCATCCCCAAATGTTCTCAATTGGGTTTAGATCCGGGGAACATGCAGGATGGTCCAAAAGAGTGATGCTATTCTCTTGGAAGAACTCCTTTGTCAGGCGGGCGTTGTGAACTGCAGCATTGTCTTGTTGAAAAACCCAATCATTACCACACAGACGAGGGCCCTCAGTCATGAGGGATGCCTGCTGCAACATCTCCACATAGCCAGCTGCTGTTTGACGCCCCTGCACAACCTGAAGCTCCATTGTTCCATTGAAGGAAAATGCACCCCAAATCATGATGGCGCCCCCACCACTGTGCCGTGTAGAAAACATCTCAGGTGGGATCTCTCTGTCATGCCAGTAACGTTGGAAGCCATCAGGACCATCAAGGTTAAATTTTTTCTCATCAGAGAAGACAACTTTCTTCCACCTTTCAATGTCCCATGTTTAGTGTACCCTTGCAAAGTCCAAACGGGCAATTCTGTGGCGTTGAACAAGACGTGGCCTTTGAAGACGTTTTTTGTTTCTGAAGCCCTTCCCTTGCAGATGCCGTCTGATGGTTATCGGGCTGCAGTCGGCACCAGTAATGGCTTTAATTTGGGTAGAGGATCGTCCCGTGTCTTGACGGACAGCCAATCGGATCCTGCGGCTCAGAGCTGGTGAAATTTTTTTGGGTCTACCACTTGACTTTTTTGTTCCATAACCCTCAGGATCATTTAAGAAATGCAAAATGACTGTCTTACTGCGTCCAACCTCAGCAGCAATGGCACGTTGTGAGAGGCCTTGCTTATGCAGCTCAACAATACTGCCACGTTCAAAGTCAGTGAACTTTTTTGCTTTTGCCATCAGGAGGTCTTGACAGTGTAAAGACTTCACAGAAAATGACATGGAATCCAGATTTTTGCACAGCTTTTGGCTTTTAAAGACTATGGTCTTAAACTTTTGATCAGCTGAAAAAATCATGTTTGAGTGTAAATGCAGTTTTCAGAAAATTCCCCGCTCAAATGTTCTTGTCTCTTGCACTGATTGTTTTCTTTTAACATTGTGAAGCTCTACTTAGAACCTTCTTAAGATTCATTAGTGCAAAATGCTAATTCTTGCAATTTTTTGACTGGCCTTAAGATTTTGATCAGGAGTGTATACATAATGACAAACTATACTAAGTGTGTGATCTAATGACTTAACTTCAAAATCAACTCAGGCATTAACAAAAATATTTAACTGATACAATCAAACCTCAAATTAAAGCACTAAAGCATGAATCCAAAATAAAGGAAGAAAAAAAAAACTTAAATCATAACTGTAGATAAAACAGAAAAGTTCCCAAAGACAGTTTTTATACATATTGAAAGATTGAGTTTCAGATAGCTGATTACAATTTTCTTGATGTAATTTATGAACAATCTTTGCCAGTCTTTATTCTTTGTGCATTCAACCCATTGCCATCATCATCTTCTCCTGTTCGCTGTTCACCTGTTGAGAACAGATATATTGTTTCATTTTAAAATGCAGAGCAGCATCCACAGTTTTTTCCATATTTCCAAATAAATTTTCTGAGTGATAAAAAATACATAATTAACTGAAATTAAATCTGAAGCAGCAGCAGTTTGTAAGACTGTTTTGTAATAAATTCACTCACTTTCTTAGGATTTGAATCTCCTGATGAGGAAGATGAAGTCTCAGAAGCTACAAAATAAAATAAAGAAATAATAATGTGAAACAGTTTTCAGTATTGCATGGAAACTACAAACCAAAATATTTAAATACTTACAATTTGCCTTTGTGAATCCTGCAACAAAAAACATTTTTATTATTTTTGTTTTTATGAAAGGCAATACATTTTTGCATGTGAACTATTGACACAATAACATCATTAAATGTCATGCCGTATCAAAAATATAAACCACTATTAAAACCAGTCACAATAAAGACAAATAGTATAAAAATAAAGCAGACTGTAAAATGAAAACAATTTTTAGTTGCTCACCATTGGGGTTTTTCCTCCAATACACGACTCCAGCAATGATGGCAGCCAGAACTGCAACACCCACAATAACACCTCCAATAACAGCTCCAATGGGGAACACTGAAGAATATGAAACCAAACAATTCACACTATTGAGATCAACTTAATTATTAGAACATATAGGGAAAACATGAAATAGAGGGAAAATAAGTCTTCAGATGAATAACAATTTTAGTGAAAGTAATGCTAAAATTAAATGTAAAATTCAGCAAAAGTTGTGCTAAGCTCTGAATTATTAGTCAGGAGTGAACATTTAAACAATATCAGTTTATATGAGAGAATTAAACTTAGAATAAACATCTTGTTGCAGTGAATAGAGACGTGACATAAAAGGTGTTGCAAAAGCAATAAAGATGTAAAAGCTTTTCATTTTGCAGCAGCTTTGGCTTTTAATCTGCTTCAGGATGAACTTCATTTTATTCTTGCAAGGGTTTTATAAATAATTTAGCAGAAACAAAGTGTTTTCCTTTTTGTTTCTTCTTGTCAATAGGACTAAATTCAATACAAAACAAAATATTAAGACAGGTGTAAAATAAAATGTGGCCACTGATAATCTAAACTTTCTGCCAGGTCACTTTGCCACTCCCTTTCACTTTCATTAATTAGCCAGGAAAAAATAAAGAAACAAGCAATTGAGATAATATGATGCATCATTGGGACAACCATTAATCACCTTTTCTCTTACCCCTATTAGAAGAGTATTTAACAATATAAATATCATTGTTTGTTTTTGAGTAAGACAGTAACATTTGAAATGAACTGAGATTTTGTCGATTTGTCTGATTAGAGAGAGAAATCTTATCAAATACCAGGTTTACTTCCTCTAGGCCTGTCACGATAACAGATTTTGCTGGGCGATAAATTGTCTCAAAAATTATTGTGATAAACGATAATATTGTCTGAAGACCTATTTACATTGATTTAATGGAAATTACGTAATAATACATGCAATTTCCTGCCACAGATAGATACACTTTACTTTCAAAAGACACTCAACACTGGGACTGATACACAAAATAAATAAAACAACCAAAACCAAAAATAAAATAGATTCTCAGTCTCCATTAACAATAAATGTACTTGAATAAAACTAAACAACATAAAGCCAAAGTGGAAATAAATACTGCATTCAACCAAAAGAGTGCAGATTATGAAGTCTGTATTGTATATTGCCCTTCAGTAATAATTAGATTTAAATAGAGAAGAATCCGACTGCCTGATGCAATAGTTCAAACTACAGGATTTTTTTACTCCAAACGACAATCTTGAACGTTCTTCGTTCTGAGATTGTCCCTTGTGTGTTACGGTAGGTCGTTGTGCTGCTCTGATCTAAATCAAGGATTTATCCAGACTGGGAGAATGACGCAACCTGTTGAATGTGACCAGTAGCCAATCAGAAAGCGCAGATTCTCCTCGTGCTTTCTGAGGGGAAACACGGAGGGAATCCTGAACAGCTGACACGGTGCAACCCGAAGTCCAGCAGACATCGGAAACAACACTAATGTTTATTCAACAGTTCGTGCAAAGAAAGTATAAATAACTCGGGGAGGAGTTGGAGCGAAATTTCTACCAGAAAACCTGGTAATTTTTCATCTGTTCTTCGTTAACGTGACATAAATAGGTTATAATGATTTTCATTCAGTCAGACTGACACACATGCATTGCAGTAGATTGTAGTAAGGAATTGATTAATGCCTGGTTTCAAAACTAGTGAACTGTACTTATTATTTTGTGTCCATTGTTGGACACAACACGGTTTCAATCGAACCGTTAGCTAGGCTTCTGTCGGCTAATGTGTCTCTCAGGTTTTGATAATGGGCCGACAATCCGCGACATAACATCGTGCAGGGCGCACTGGGCATTACACTAAGGAAATAAGGAAAAGAGGGTCAGTGGAGAGCACCGGAGTTGAGCCTTTTTTCATTCAGTGTCATCAACAGTAAGAGATGACACGATATAGCCGATAATTAAAATGAGGTTGATAGTTTTAACTTATCGTGCGATTAATTGACTTATCGTTTATCGCGACAGGCCTACTTCCCTCACGTTTTAAAACGGAGCGTTGTTGTTCTTCTTGCCACTTTTCAACAAATTAAGTTTCTGTTAAGTTGCTTTAGTGATTTGACCACACTCAGTTTTAAAAACAAAGGATAACATATTCAACTAAATCACTGAGCTTTTACTGTTACTGGTTCTGATACAAGTATCTTCTCATAAATATATTTTTTAAATGTTTTCAAACATGTTATATTGACAATGTAATTACTTGATGGATGATATATCGGCACAAACATCGGTTTAGGTCAATATTCAGTTTTTAAATTACTGGTGTGACAATAAAACTATTAATCATCAATTGTTTTCATGTTCTTACTATGGGGGAGGAGGTGGGTCATGTGACAGTGATGAAGCAAAGGATTGTGGGGAATTTAACTGAAGCAAAGTGGTGAAGTCTGCAGGGTTGTTTTTTTTCAGGATGTCTAAAAATAATACTGGTAAATATCAGCCATGACAGCAATATTAATACTGTATATTGATGTCAGCTCAAATTTCCATATTGGTGCATCACTAGTCATGACAACAATACGCTGATGCTGACACTTTCTGAGCTTTATAAATATGTATCTGTGAGCAAAATGTAGCATAAATATTATCTTAAAAGAGTTCATCAATCAGTGGGTGTATTCTGTAAAAGAACCATCTGACTGATATAAATAATCTTCATGTCCCAATTAATATAAATAAAACCAGATTAAAAAATATTTTTGGATTCCTTTATGTAAAAAAAAAAAAAACCCTAAATCTTATTTCCTCTTTAAGAAAAAAACAGTACATAGCCAAACCTTTGAATTCAGCTTTTTAAGGACAACTGTAGCTCAGTTATATATAGACTTAGTCATACATTGTGTCACTGTTTCGGAGTTCAATAAACTTGGTTCACATCAGCACTCTTACGATTAATGGCATGTTAAAATGTAAAATTTTTGTTCCTATTTGTACTGTGGGAACTTTGTAATAAGTATCCCATGATTGGTTGTTAAACCTGAACAGCAGTAAATTCTCAATTTCTGTTTTAAGAATCTATCTTTAGTTCAGTTCTTTTCAGTACATCAATTAAGCAAATAAATCTGAGATTAAATAGATGTAATTTAAGACATAATATGAAAAAATTGTAGGTTTTAAGACTTTTCACAGCCTTAAATTTAGATTAGTAAATTTAAGACTTTTTAAGATCCAATGTTTTCAACAAATAATAAAAAGCAGAACATTTGGAGATCACTATATTGTTATGTTTCCCAATAAAATATCAATGTATGGTGATAAATAGAGCAGTTTCAACAAATGTATACAAACTAATATAAACTGCATTGTTCTTTAAGTCCATGACTTCATGCTAAAGTCTTACCTGCATTAGTCTTGATGTTTGCTTTGTCCAGTCGGGTGACCAGATCTTCTTCAACACCTGAGAGCTGAAACACACAGTCGTACTTTGTCCAGTCTTCAGATGAGGAAAGTTTCAGCTCAACACTCATCTGGAAGGTCCCATCGTTGTTGGGAATAATCTCTCTTTTCTCCACACCTTCATGAATCTCTACTCCATCTTTCCTCCAAAGCATTTCTGCCCTGTTGGGGTAAAAACCAGTAGCGTGGCAACTGACTGGAGAGGAGGACGACTTCTGGAGGAGAGACACTGATGGAGGAACTGGGGATGAAAAGAGGGAAACATTCACACTGTTTATATGGAACTGGAGATTTGGGACAGAAAAGTTAGACAGCTGTTCACTTAAATAAAAGGTAGAATAAAGTCAAAGATAATTTGGGAAAAATACAAATTAAATAGATTCAAACAAACATGAGCGACCAATATAAATCAAACATGGGTTAATAAACACAAATGAAAAAGAAAGAGTGTAAAGAACAAAAAACCATTAAGAGATTGAAAAAAAGAAAAGTCAGGTAATGTGACTGTACCTGTTCTCATCAGAGAGTTTCTCCCATAGTTCAAATATTTCTTCAGCCACTCAGGACAAATCTGGGTTAGATAGTTCACACTACCTGCATTATAACCTGTATTTTGGTCCCACTTGTTTTTGGTGCTAACAGCTTGTGGTACTGGTGCGGTCCAGGATTCTGATTTCAGATCAAATGCTATAAAGTCTTCTCCATCATAACCATACTGGTCGTAGCCTTTAATTTCTCCAGTCTCATCGTCCCACTCACAGCCATACATTCTCTGCACTAAGTGAATTCCTGAGACAAACAGAAAGACAAAAGTTAATAACATTGATATCAAAGAAAGTCAGTTGCTCTTATTAAAATGGACATAATGTTTTGACAAGGAAATAACATTTTATTCCACAGTTTGAAGTTAATTTAACACGACATGAACAAACAACTAAAGTAAACCTCTGAGTCAGCATTATACTGGATATTTTTCCATTTTACTGGAGCAAACATTAAATTTGCTTTAATATCTAATTTGAAATATTTTGAGAACAGAATGTTTGTGCCTCTGGATTATAACTTCAATGCTAGTCACTACTAATGAGAAACCTTTTAAGAAACCTTCAGTGAAGATTAAGTCACCTGACAATAACTGACATACAAATAGTGCAAATCTGTTTTCAAATTACTAAAACTTGTGTTATTTTTTTGAGCCTTCTGTAAATAATTTCTTATCATACCACTTAATTTATGCACTTATATGTTTTGATTATTTTGACAATATGAATCACCTTGTTTCTTACAGACTGGATTTCTTTTAAATTTCCTATGGAAAGTCAAAGGATAGAAGGAAAGTATCTAATAGATAATTATTAATTAGCTGCACAGAGTGAAAGTTTGGTGAATATAACTCAATATTGTCCAAAATAATAATCATAATACATTTGTTCTGTTTCCTACTTTTTGACATAGTGTAAGTTTATTTAATCCACTAAACATGAAACTTCCTCTGCTGTTTCTCTTCTCTCTCTCTGCAGCTCCAGTCTGCAGATTGTTTCTTGTGATAATCAGAACCGATCGTTTCTCCTCTTTGTCTCTCATCAGTTTCTCTGATTTTCTTTCTTTCCTCTCGTCTCTAAAGTTTCTGATCTTCATTTTGCTCCATTTCTGTGTTTCTCCTCCTCAGTTTGGTTCTGTTTGCTCTGAGGTTCTGGAGAGACTCCACACATGGAAACAAACACACAGAACTCCTCACTCCGACCAGAACCACCGACCCAGAAGCTTCTTCTCTAGAAAGCAGCTGAATCAGAACCAGCAGATGAACATGAAGGTTTTCCTGCTGATCAGAGGAAACCTGATTGGATAAAACATGATTGTGATCAATCAGTCTGACAGTCTGATCTGCTGCTGAACAAAGAGTCAGAGAGAAGCTGAACCGGGTCAGCCTGTCTGACCCGGTTCACTGATCCAATCTGCTGGTTCTGGAGCAGAAGCTGCTTCCAGTGGGTCAAAGTTCTGATTGATTCATTGCTCTGCTGACTGACTGGATGGAGGAAGTTCTGCTGGACCCGGTTCCTCCCGTCTTCCTGTGTTTCACAGCGACTGAGAGCAGAACCGGGCCTGGGTTCTACGTTCCTCTCTGGTTCCTGTCATGTGACCTGATGGTTCTGCTGCGGCACCAGAAGGTCCAACTCGTCTCTCCCGACCCGTTTCTGTCCGTTTCTGGACAGACGGAGGAGAAGCTGCGTCTTTAACGAAGTTCTGGTTCTGCTGCTTCACTGGTCGGTTCTGATCCACAATAAACCAGCAGCTGGAATGAGAGACTGAACCGGGTTTAACCGGGTCATGTTGCCTCTCAGTTTTTACATCTCTGAATTGAACCAGAACCAGAACAGATTCGGACCTTTCTTTCCCCAGTTTGGTTAAAAGTTGCCATGGAAACCCATAAGGGTCGGAGCCGCAGCAAGAACCGGGCCAGCAGGAACCGGGCCAGCAGGTCCGATTGCGCTGCTCACATTTAGAACCGCAGAACTTTTTTCTTCAGGGAAACTTTCTGATGTCAATAAATCAACAAATATCAGATTTTAGGTTTTATTGATCAATAATGGATTTATCGGCTCATCGTTTTATTTTTAACAAATATTTAAAGTTTTATTGATTAAAGATTATATTTCTCTCTGATGTCATGGTAACAATCAATAGATATTTAATGATCAATAATTCACCAATAATCAGATCATTGATATTCCTGATGAGTCGTTTTAATCTGATTTAATCTAATCTGCAGTTTTACTTTTTATTTATGGACCAAACAAACTGGGTTCTGTTCAGTAAAGTTCTGCTCGGTCCGATCGGGTCGGTTCTACTGATGTTCTGTCTGTTAATGATTTAAACCCATTTCCTCTGAGACACACGGCTGACAGCCGTCCTACTGGGCCCGGCTCGGTCCAGAACCCGGTTCTGATGGAGCGGGTTCCTGTGGGCGGTTCTGTTCAAGTTGTGGTGGGAAAGTGTGTGAGGTGAACAGAACCGCTGAGGCAGAACTCTGCAGCGGTTCTGGTCTCCAGACGCTAGCAGCAGAACCGGGTTCTGTCTGGTACCGGGTCAGGCTGAAGGTTCCCCTCTCAGCCAATCAGAGGGTCAGAATGTGTTTCCATGGCAACACGTGGCGACCTCTGATGAAGACTCCGGACCCGCTGACCCGGATCGACCCGGTTCTTCCTCCAACATCACAGCAGTTGGACCTCCTCAGAACCTTCATCGGGTCAGAACCTTCCTCTTCCTCTGAGGCTCTCAGACTTTCAGCTGCAGGTCCGATCTCTGCAGGGACGTCGGCTCAGAAACAGGTGGGGGTCACTCTAAAGCTGCAGCTCCAGAACCAAACTCTGGTTCTGGAGGATCCAACTGCTGCTTTACGGCCAGCAGAACCAGAACCAAACTGGGAACAAACCAGTAACTCAGTCTGGGCCGACTGGTGAGTGGAGAGGAGAACCAGCAGGTCCAGTTCCTCTCCCAGTTTGGATCAGGATGAGTCCAGCAGCAGAACTTCAGTCTGGACTGAGGAGAGTCCAGACAAACTCATCTGACCGGTTCTGGTTCTGGTCGGACCCAGATCATCTACCTTGAGGAACCAGAGTCAGGATAGAACCAGGGATCTGACCGGTTCTGGTTCTGTTGGTCTGGATGAAAACGCTTCAGCAAAAACGATTTTTATTCAGTAAATATTTAAATGATCCAAAATCTAAAATCTAAAAACCTGGAAGATTTTTACTGTTTTCTGTTTTCATCAGAGTTTAAATTAAAAACATCAAATTTCCTCTGAAGTTTTTCTGCTTTTTTCTTTACTTTATTTTTCAAACCACTGATCGGTTCTGGTTCTGGTCGGATCCACATTCACGTCTCTGTTTGGAGACTCGACCAGGTTTTCAGAAAACATGATTTAATAAAACATTTTAAAGGTTTCAGAGTCTAAATGCTGAGATGGTTGTTAGTTTCCTGTTTTGATCAGAAACTGAAGAAACTTCAGACGTTTCTCTGCTGCTGCTGATCAAACTGCAGCATCTGAACATTTATTATCTCATGTTGGAGCCAAAACATTTCATTTCCTACAACTAAAACCTGCAGAGCAAAACAGACAAACATGCTTTTATATCATGGTGTATTTTCTAGTCGGGCTGCTGGAAGCAAATATTTTAGTAATCGATCGATTATTCTGACGAGTGATCAGATAAAAACAGATCAAATAAAACTTTGGTAAATCTAACATAACAGCAGTTTTACTACTGAATATCAACATCAGTCCAATTTTTCACTTTTGAGTTTTTCTAACTATAAACTTTCTGTAGTTTATTAAATTAACTCGTAACAATAAAAGCTCGATTTCCAAGTTAACCTGAAGAAAAGTTACAAGAATCTGAAATTATATTCAATCCAATAATAAAGAGTCAGGCTCACAAATACGCTTATAAAAAATGCTTCAGCTTTTCCTTATGTATTGATCTCCAGTCAGTTTGATAGATGACCTTTGACCTTGCCCAGACATTCATGTGTTCATGTCAGCGACGGGATTCGACTCCTTCGTTCATCAGACAGAAACATCAACCAGCTCCGTGGCGCCATGATGAGCTTCACATTTACTGAGACCAGGATGAAATAAATTCATTTCCTGTTGGTCCGTAAAGCAACATTTACGGTAATTATCTGATGCAGAGCCGCCTGCAGCGTTCAGTCGACCTGCTCACCTGGATAAATACACCTGCAGCTCCTGCAGGAGAAAAGCTGCCCAACTCCAGGCATCGTTATTTTAAAGATGCTTATTGATCCCCGAACAAAGACCCAGATATTATCATCAATCAATAAAATCCTCCCAGCCGAACTGGAAAACTGGACGTTATGCTGCTAACACTTAGCTTTAGTCAGCAGCTCAGGCAGAAATGAGAACGATGTGCAGCACAAGTAACGACCCGGCAGGAACTCGGCGCCTTAAATAATAAAATATAACTTAACGAAGCTTCCAGGAAGAAACATTTTCCTCCAGGAAGTTTAATAATCAAGGAACCAGAATCACTCCAGGAATCGTTTCATTTTCTAGTTACTTAAAGTTGTTTTGACCATAAAAACTTTAAACATTTAGGAAAAAAGGCTCAACAACTTTTCCAGAGAAAGAGGGAGAATTTAAACTGGATCAAACATTCAGGTTCTTAGAAATGTTTTATAAATGACTTTAAATTATTTATAAGACATTTAGTCTGAAAATGTTTCATCCTGCAGCGAACAGCTTCCCTCAGCTTTGGGGCCTGAGCCCCCGACACCCATCAACCCTAGAACCGCCCCTGGGAATAGAGACGCTTTAGTTTTTCAGGGATTTGAACCATTTTAAACCTGGTTAACGCAGAAGAACTTTATCCATGATAAATACAATTAAACAGAAAATATAGAACATAATGTAGAGAATAGAGACTCCATCTTTTCAACAACAATAATAAAACTATTGTTTTAAACTTTCTCAGTTTGAGTCTTCATAATAATTTATTGGACTTTTTTTTGTTAATTAATGTAAATTAATATCTTTGTAAAATGACATAAGTGATTATAATAGTTAGCAAAAGAAAAGTTACATCAATCAGTTAATTTAATTTTAATTCATATTCTCAAAAAGTCTCTTTTTGTGTGTGTGTGTGTGGTGTGTGTGTGTGTGTGTGTGTGTGTGTGTGTGTCCTACTTCCCATAAGCAACAACAAAATGATCAATAAATGATTAAATTAACACAAACCTCCAGTTTGGTTGAAACGTTGCTTCGCAATTTCAATGTCGGCTTTGAAGCTCTTCTGTTCGCCCTGAGCTACTTGAGTCTCTGTCTTCCAGTACTGCTGATCCATGTTCTCCCTCATCCAGTCCTGTTTTGGTTCGGCTCTCCGTGTGTTGCTGTCATAATAAACCATCTGAACATCATCAACCATCGCAACCTCCACATGCTCTGGGAAGTTTGGGACTTGAGAGGACGAGGTGTAGAAATACTTCAGAGAATGAGAAACTGGAAAAAGACAATGACATTTAAGAATTTATAAATTAACACAATATTAAAACATTTTCTACAAGTCAAATAGAAACTTTATCAATTATAATAATAACATTCAATCTTAACATTAAAAAGATTAAAAAGTTTTTTATTACTTTGATGATTTTTGAGGTTGAATTTAATAAACACAAAACATTTTATTTTTCATATATTTATTATAATCAGTTTTATGTTATAAAACTATTTATATTTTATTTTAAACAGCAGCTTTGCTTTGCGTTTATTTATTAAAATTATAGACCAACATAAAATTATAAAAAGATACTTAATTTAGGATTTATCAATATGTTGCATAAATGTGCTATTAAATTGTTTTACTGTTTAATTATAGTTTGAATTTTAAAAACATTTCAGTTTTTTTCCAGTTTCTCTCATTATTATTTTGAAGCTGTGTTTCATTTAATATTTATTCAAATTAACATCACATTCAGCCTGGATTTTATTAATTATGTTTTATGGTGAAAAATGAACTGATGGTGAAACAGAAAGAAAATTCTTGTCATTGTTGACAGAAATAAGAAAATAAATAAAAACTGTCCAACATCAAATGAGGTACAAAGATCCTAAGTTAAACTAAATAATGTATTTGTGATTAAATCTCATATTTTAATGGTTTTTGCTCCATATTAACATATTTCTGACTTTCCTGCATCGTTTGGTAAAAAATGTTCAGTTTATTAAATACTAACTAAAGAGAAAACAAATGTTTTTAAATTAATTTAAAATCTTTTTTCCAAATGAAATGTCTAAATGTTAAATATGTTTGGGACATTTATTTAAGTTTATCTAATTGTTTGGTTATTAATCTCCACATTAAGCTTTACTAGATTAATAAATTGTCACTTATACAATAATAATTTATAAATATTATTCTAACTTACCAGCTTCAGAGCTGCAGATTCCCAGGAGAAGCAAAAACCCCAAACGGATCATTTTGTCCGTCATGCAGATCCAACTCGGATCTTCACCATTACAGACTGAATTTCTCTCCACTGAAGGATTTTATTATCTGGAGTCTAAAAGGGGCGGAAACCTGAATCTGAACCAATGGCAACATTTTCTGTCTGGTGACGTCACCTAAATCCAGGTAAAATCTCCCTGTTGGGGTTGTGATCGAAAATGAAACTATTTTGTTTTATATCAGGTGATGACGTCAGACAATGACGCGTTTTGATGGTTTTCATCAACATGGAGACATTTTCATGTTTTACTGCCATTTATTTCTAAAACTGATAAAACTTTCAGTTGCATTTTAGTCTCAGTTTCCTGGTAAAACCAGGAAGAATTAATTTCTAGTTTTAATTAAAATAATTTAATTATCATCCGTCTAGCTTCAACATTTGGTCCCATTAAATACTGAATGATTTTAAAGCTCTGTAAGTTTCTGTGGTGAAGTGCGCCCTCTGGTGGTAGCAGCTTCACATCTGATTCTTCTCACAATGTTTTGTTTTTCTTTGTTTTTATATTTTAAATTCAGAAATAAACTAGTTTATTTATAAAAGCGCTTCAGAAAAACACAGGTTTGGTTTTACAATATCAATGCTGGAATATTAATTTGGTACCGTGAAACTGAATGAAGAATAATTTGGCTTCAGTGACTCATAATTGATATGTTATGTATTTAATATGTGTTTACATATATATTTAGATTTTTGCTAATTTGTTTTACTTGTGAATGAGTTTAATTCACGTTTATAAAGTTTTCTGTGAAATGTAATAAAAATCAAATGATAGAAAAATCATAAAGCCATAACTAATTTAATGAGCCATTTGCAATTTCATTGTACTGGCCATGTGTATTTAGACTTGCATGGCTTATCTTTGAAAAAAACATTATGCAACTTTATTAATTTATTACAGAGTAATAACATAGTTGACCCTTAAAATCAGTTTGCATGAAATTGGTTTTCTGATATATGATTCACATAAAATTGTGCGTAAATACAAGAAACTTTGTCTCTGAGTGCAGGCGGCCCGCAGGCGGCCCGTAGGAGGCCAGCAGGCGGCCCGCAGGAGGCCCGCAGGCGGCTTGTAGGAGGCCCGCAGGAGGCCCAAAGGCGGCCCGCAGGCGGCCCGCAGGCGGCCCGTAGGAGGCCAGCAGGCGGCCCGCAGGAGGCCCGCAGGCGGCTTGTAGGAGGCCCGCAGGAGGCCCGCAGGAGGCCCGAAGGCGGCCCGCAGGCGGCCAGCAGGCGGCCCGCAGAAGGCCCGCAGGAGGCCCGCAGGCGGCTTGTAGGAGGCCCAAAGGCGGACCGCAGGAGGCCCGCAGGAGGCCCGCAGTAGTCCCGCAGGAGGCCCAAGGGCGGCCCGCAGGCGGCCCGCAAGAGGCCCGCAGGAGGCCCGCAGGCGGCCAGCAGGCGGCCAGCAGGAGGCCCGCAGGAGGCCCGCAGGCGGCCAGCAGGCGGCCAGCAGGAGGCCAGCAGGCGGCCCGCAGGCGGCCAGCAGGCGGCCCGCAGGAGGCCCGCAGGAGGCCCGCAGGAGGCCAGCAGGCGGCTTGTAGGAGGCCCGCAGGAGGCCCGGAGGCGACCAGCAGGTGGCCAGCAGGCGGCCCGCAGGAGGCCCGAAGGCGGCCCGCAGGAGGCCAGCAGGCGGCCCGCAGGCGGCCCGCAGGAGGACCGTAGGCGGACCGCAAGAGGCCCAAAGGAGGCCCGCAGGTGGCCCGCAGCAGGGCCACAGGCGGCCCGCAGGAGGCCCGCAGGCGGCCCGTAGGAGGCCAGCAGGCGGCCAGTATGCGGCCCGCTGGTGGCACGCAGGGGGCCCGTAGGAGGCCAGCAGGCGGCCCGCAGGAGGCCCGCAGGCGGCCCGCAGGAGGCACGCAGGAGGCCCGCAGGCGGCCCGTAGGAGGCCCGCAGGTGGCCCGCAGGAGGCCCAAAGGCGGCCCGTAGGAGGCCCGCAGGTGGCCCGCAGGAGGCCCCCAGGCGGCCCGCAGGAGGCCCAAAGGCGGCCCGTAGGAGGCCAGCAGGCGGCCAGCATGCGGCCCGCAGGAGGCCCGCAGGCGGCCCGCAGGCGGCTTGTAGGAGGCCCGCAGGAGGCCCAAAGGCGGCCCGCAGACGGCTTGTAGGAGGCCCGCAGGAGGCCCGCAGGTGGCCCGCAGTAGTCCCGCAGGAGGCCCGCAGGCGGCCCGCAGGAGGCCAGCAGGCGGCCAGCAGGAGGCCCGCAGGCGGCCCGCAGGCGGCCAGCAGGCGGCCCGCAGGCGGCCCGCAGGCGGCCAGCAGGCGGCCAGCAGGCGGCCCGCAGGCGGCCCGCAGGAGGCCCGCAGGAGGCCAGCAGGCGGCCCGCAGGCGGCTTGTAGGAGGCCCGCAGGAGGCCCAAAGCCGGCCCGCAGACGGCTTGTAGGAGGCCCTCAGGAGGCCCGCAGGAGGCCCGGAGGTGGCCCGCAGTAGTCCCGCAGGAGGCCCGCAGTAGTCCCGCAGGAGGCCCAAGGGCGGCCCGCAGGCGGCCGGCAAGAGGCCAGCAGGCGGCCAGCAGGCGGCCAGCAGGCGGCCCGCAGGAGGCCCGCAGGAGGCCCGCAGGAGGCCCGCAGGCGGCCCGTAGGAGGCCAGCAGGCGGCCAGCATGCGGCCCGTAGGAGGCCAGCAGGCGGCCAGCATGCGGCCTGTAGGAGGCCAGCAGGCGGCCAGCAGGCGGCCAGCAGGCGGCCAGCATGCGGCCCGTAGGAGGCCAGCAGGCGGCCCGCAGGAGGCTCGCAGGCGGCTTGTTGGAGGCCCGCAGGAGGCCCAAAGGCGGCCCGCAGGCGGCCAGCAGGCGGCCAGCAGGAGGCCCGCAGGAGGCCCAAAGGCGGCCCGCAGGCAGCCCGCAGGCGGCCCGCAGGCGGCCCGCAGGTGGCCCGTAGGCGGACCGCAAGAGGCCCAAAGGAGGCCCGCAGGTGGCCCGCAGCAGGGCCACAGGCGGCCCGCAGGAGGCCAAGGCGGGCCGCCTGCGGGCCTCCTTTATTCACACCATCATGAATCTCCTCTTCATCTCTCCTCCAGAACATCTCAGCTCTGCTGGGATAGAAACCTGTAGCGAAGCAGCGGACCGGAGAGGATGGAGACGTCTGGAGGAAAGACACTGAGGGAACATCTGAGGAGAAAAATAGAAATATTCCTGTGACTCAAACACCTATTTTGAATAACGCAGTTCATTCTATTCCTGTTTTTACAAAAATCAAAAATAGAGAAGAGTATATACACATAAAAAAGACAACAACAGTCAAGCTTGATGAAAAAGGAAGTCCTCATAATCCTGGACTTGAAAACTTATTTTCTAATTTCTAGAAAATTTTTAGGATTTAGAGCTGAAAATGCATGAAAACACAAATAAAGACCAAAACACAATCTTAGAGAGAATGGACCAAAAACAGAGAAAAATTGTGAAATGTAGAAGCATGCTATAAAAAACTGATTAAACAAAAACTATAAAATTGATTTAAAAATGTGCAGAAAACTGTTCTACCCATTTTCAGCAGAGAGTTCTTCCCATACTCCAAATACTTTTTCAGCCAATCAGGACAAGTTTGGGTGATGTAGTTCTTTGTCTTTTCCACCTTCGTTTTGTCGTCGTCCCATTTGTTTTTGGTGATTAAAGCCTGATGTACTGGAGCAGACCATCTCTCTGATTTCAGGTCAAATGCAATGAAGTCCTCTCCATCATAACCAAAGTTTTCCCAACCTTGAACATCTTCATATTCATCATCAAACTCACAGCCATACATATTCTGGAAGATATGAACACCTGAGAAACAGAAACACAGTAAAAGTTTCAGTGACTGTGTGAATGTTGCTTCATAGGAGAAAGAGCAGAGAGTCAGAGAGCAAGCAAGTTTGTTTCTCTCATGAGTTTAAAAGCTAAATTTAGGCCTGTCACGATACAAATTTTGCCGAGCGATTAATCGTCTAATTATTGCGATAAACGATAATATTCATTCAGTCATCAACAGAAAGAGAAAAAGACAGGAAGAAACGATATAGCCGATAATTGAAATGAGGTCAATAATTTTAATTTATTGTGTGTTTAATTGATTTATCGTTTATCGAGACAGGCCTAGCTATATTTACAGCAAATGTTACAGAAATGAAAACATCTAAATTATAAGAAATCTTATAATCAATGTACGTTTGCATTTTCTTTGAGTGCCTTTTCTTATGTTTAACAAGAGAAACACATTTTCAGTTTTAGTATAAATAACCAGGGTGTGTTGCAGCCTTAAGGTTTTAATTTCACTCCTGATAAAATAAAACAACTGAAACCTTGTGAGACATGAAGCCCAGCAGCATAAAGCAGTGAAATATCCTGACAAACCTCCAGTTTGGTTGAATCGTTGCTTTGCAACTTCAGTGCTGTTTATGAAGGACATCTGGGTTTCATATAACTCATGTGTTTGAAAGTCCCAGTACTGCGGATCATCGTCTGTGACATTCTTCATCCAGTCCTGTTTGGGGATCGCTGTCTTATTGCTGCTGTCATAATACATGAACTGGTTTCCATCAACCAGACCAACAGCCACAAACTCTGGAAAGTTATCGATTCCAGATGACGCAGTATAAATATACTGCAGAAAATGACGCCCTGCAAAGTAACATAATATTGTGATTTCAATTTTCAGATTTACACACAAATACAAACAAAACCAGTGTTGGATCTGCAGGGAAAGAGAGGAACAGTAAATCCTCCCAGTATTTGGTAATGTTACCTCTAAAATGTGTGACTTGTACTGTTTTAAGTTTCCTTTGAAAAGCTTCTCACCATCTTTAGTTCTGGCCCATCGGGCCTGACAGAACCTCAGTCGGGTTTAAAGGCTGCCATTTAAACCTGGACCCGTCTTTCAGATCTGCCCACAAATATTCTCTAGGATTAATATCAGGGCTTTTATTCAGGACCAAAACTGACAGAATTAAAAAGCATTGATGGCCCAGTAAATAAATCAATATTCCTATTCAATCAATAATTTCAAAATTATGAAATAATAGGAGGGTTAGGGTTATGTTTTATAATTTAATTGAGCTTCATATTTTTTCAGCTTAGTGTCAACAAAAGACATATTTCATATATCTTTGTTTTTCTTTTTACTTATATATTAATACATAAATATACATGTTTCACCACATGAACTATGAAATATTCAATTAAATTATGAAATAATATCTAGATTTTAAAATGAAATCAATACATTTAATTTATCAACATTAATGTAGATACCCTGTTCAGGTTATGCTGCAACAGTTACTGAACTATTTTCATTATTTTAAATCATATTTTCATTCATGAATAATAAAACTTTTCTTTTCTATTTAATCTTGACCAAAGTTAAAGTAACTCAACACTATTTGACCTTTGACATTAGAGCTGGTTTCATTTTGTTACCAGCATTTCAAATGAAGTGTAAAAGTTCATATTTTAACTGGGACTAAATAAAAACAAATGATAAGAGCAAACAAAACATTGATCACTAAGCCAATATGTATTGTGAATTTGTGTCTTTTTAACACATTTATGCCTCATTTGTGGATTTTTAAGTGGATTTTGTAAGATTATGGTGAAGTATTTCAATTAGATTTTCTACAGTCAAAAACATTTCAGCAAAACTAAATCCAAATCTTTTGACTTTTTTCTTTTATAAAACTAGAATCTAAATGGTGGGAAATAAAATATCGTTTTCTTGTTTTGGGGAAGGAAATCTTCCTGCCTTCACATCAAAACATGTCCTAGAAATTCTTAATTTTAGAAATAAAATTATAAATTATATTTTAGAACTGAAAGAAATCTGCAAATGCTCGATCAGCGTTCCAGTCTTTGCAAAGTATCATTTCCATTCTCCGGACTTGAATGTGAGGATCACGTCTGAATGATCTTTATTCCCATCATAGCAAACTGCTGGTGGCAGTCAGGAAAAACAACCAGTTTTTATATATTTGATATACCAAATATATAGATTGGTACCTTTGCTAACTTACAGAAATAAAAAGTGAGCTAAAAATAGAAATCAAATATTAGTTTGATACATATGAAATAACTTGAATATCATCAGGTGTTATTCAGGAAGTGTTTATTAGAGCTTTGGCTTAATAAACCGTTAACCTTAGGGTCAAGGTGTACTTAAAAGCACCACGAGTTTATCTCTCTGGACCATAAATGTTGCGTAGAATCGCAGCAGAACAGAACCGGAGAGAATAAATCTTTCTACTGAAACTTTTCTCTCCACAACAATATAGACTGGTAAACTCATTAGAGTTTATTACACATATAATGACCATGGTGCAGCAGAGCGAAATGCTTCTATTTTGGAAAAAAAAAACTTTATGCATTGACTAATCTTAAATAAATAAACATATTACATTCGATTAAAATTAATTTGATTTTTAAAGAAAACTGTTTAAGAAAGTGTTTTTATTTAGAAACAATCATTTTTCTCAGAGTTAAATATTAGACACACATCTCAAAACTGTACAAGTTGTGAAGCTAAATGTATTTATTTCTGACTCACCTGATATTGTGCTTTGTATTCCCTGAAAAACCAGGAAAATAGACCAGATTCTCATTTTAGCCTTTTCACAACTACATTTTTATCATTTATAACTTCTCTCCTCTTCCCTTCTGAAGAAACTCTGGAAAGATGGATGAAGAGTTGGGAACGTAAAGTTCACCTTTCCAAGGAACCAATGAGAGAACGCAGGTCGTCAACGTCACTCACCTGGTTATACAACCTGGTGATGTTTTAATGATGGTAATGATGGTGAATCCTGACTGAGTTCTGATGTTTGGACTAAAGCTAGAAGAAGATGACATTATCACAAATTTGGGGATCTTTCCTTTTTTTTCTTTATCATAAATGTTGGAGGAAGAGTTATTTTGGTTTAATTTCTGTTTGGTTTGAACATAATAATAATAATACTGGCTAGAAAACAATTTGGATAGGAAAATGAGGCCCACATGTTGACTCTACAAACCTTTATAAGTTATAGCCTGCTAAAAAACCTAAACAATTAATTTATGCTTTACACATTATAATTACTAAAAGTTATTAACAGCAATGCAAGCAGAAGAGGAACATGTGAACATTAGTAGCACTATAATGCTTTGCCTGTTATTATTAGCGTGTCTCTGTTTTCCTGTAGTTTTCTCTAGTTTCCCATTTTAACTGATGTTTGTTTTCAGTTTATCAATGTGAGTTTATGAGTTACTGGATGAACTGTAACTCAGATCTGCTCACACCTTTGGACTATAAATTGAGTTGCAGTTACCAAAGGTCCTTCTGTTGACACTAAAGCATAAAACACACGCCCACATGCACACACACACACACACACACACACACGCCCACACGCACACGCACACATGCACACGCACACATGCACACGCACACACAAACTGTAAAACACATACAAATGAGTGCCGACAGTCGAGATCCAGGTTTTGTGCTTAATAACAGCGAATACAGCAGAAATAGTTTGTCTGCAGGAAGTTTATGAAAGTGAAAATGATTTGTTTTTCTCAGTTGCTCTTGACAATTTGTCTTTCTCATCCCCTACATGTTATAAAAGTCCACAAGCTGGACCCGACTCCTCACTGATATACTTCTTAACTACATCTTATCTTTCTTTGATCACCAGCTTCTCTGTTCACCTTATGTACAGGTTTGTAAAGACCAGTATGAACTTTATTTCCTGTCTGTTTAGCTTCCTTTGTCTCATGAGTATTGTTTGGATTTCTCTACCATCTCTGCTCTGCTTCCTGTTTTTATATTTTTTTTCACTTGGTTGTAAATCTGCCTCTAGTTTCTGAGATCAGAATTATTTAGTTTCTAGGAGCTAATATTGTTACCAGTGTTGTTATGCTGTTATAATCTGACAGTTTGTGTTTTTTCTCATCCTGTTTTATCCCGCAGTCGTCATCATCTTGAACATCACAGCATCTTTATTTACACTATAATTGTTGCAGGTTTTCTGTTGTAATCCAGAATCTAATTTAATCTGAATGGTCTGAATGTATAGGGCATTTCACTATTGCTGTATTCACCCAATCACTAACACAAAAGTGAAAGTTCACACACAAATACGTAGGTTGGTAGGCAACTGTGGCTTAAGTGCCTTGCTCAGGGGCACATCAACATGTTAGTGCAGGATGCTACGAGTCAAATCCTCAAATTTTCTTTCTTCTTTACGCAGAACTACAATCTCCATTATAATGTCAATAAGTGATCTGAAAAAACCCTCATCAACAGTATAATGACCTGGAGTCTTTGCTGATCTGAGACAATGTTGAGTAAAATCAATCGATTCCTTTATTGATTCTTGATAAGAAAACAATTACAGCAGATGGATCCATTTCCACAGGACAGAGAAATTCAATAAGAGTCAGAGCTGATTGAAAATTAAATCACCTGTTTACATTTTATTAGACACAAAGTGTTTTACAATGAAAAAGAATGAAAACACATAAGGTAAAAATAAAAAACAAAAAACAGAATACGGATAAAAACAGAGAGTAAAACTAGATGCAATCAGTTTGAACAAAGTGAACAAAAACGTTGCTTGAGGGCAAACAGTCTAATATTTGTTAATTTACATTTTGAAAGAAAATTATTTAAATAATCTTTTACCGCTTAAATGTACAGAGATTAGGCAGATTTATTGTACATTCTGCTATTTAGAGGCAGAACTATTCCCATTATCTTTAACTTGTTAATTATGTTGTAATTTTTTATACCATAATAACCCAGACACAGAATTTAGAGCTTATATCTTGTTAAAAACATATAATTTTACATACTTATAATTTCTATATTTGATTGTTTTTAGGACTGTAAACAGTCTCCATTTCCTAGAATTATAATAAGTATTCTTCATGATAAATCATAAATTTAGGCAAACTAAAGAATTTATCAGTCATCCGATTTATCTGAGCTGATTTCCTCAATTCAGCCGACACTCACATGTTCAGTTCACATGTTCAGTTCACATGTTCAGTTCACATGAAGTCAGTTTTATCCCCTGATCTTATCTGCCTCAAAAAGGTTTAAAAATCAGCCACTGTCCTCTGCTGCTCTCGAGATCCACCTGGTCATGTCTGCATGTTGCAGTTATCGATAGTCATTGTTGTCAACTCAGAAACTTTCTTGCTATATTTACCAACATTTTAGAAAAAGTAAAGGTATCAGCAAAAATCGGAGGTCTGGGTTTTTAAAGGTCGGTAAGCATCAGAAAGTATTCAGTAGTTATAGTTATAGTTAAATGAAGCTGAATAAAAAACCCAAAACAACAAACAAAAGAGGCTCAGAGGTTCCAATAAACATTTAACAAAATGTTTTCTAATCAAACCAGTTTTACATAAAACTTCTATAAATGAAATAAAAGTACCACCTGATTATAAACTTATGACATTTCTTTATCAGAATGAAAATATTTTTTAAAACATGACAGCAGAATAAATTGGATGCAGAGACTCAAGAAAACATGGTAGCACTGTTGCCTTGCAGCAAGAAGGTCTTGGGTTTGATTCCTGGCCTTTAGATTATCTGTGTTCTCACACTGTGTTTCAGCACTCGTCTTTTTATTAACACAGAAGGAGTCAGTGGGATGAGGGAGAGTAATAAATAAAAAGAAAGGGGGCAATTCTGATAATAAGTTAGAAGGAACACAGAAACTACATCCTGCACAGGCAAATTCACAAGTCAGGAGTATTTTGGTAGATAGAGAAATAATCTTCAAGGTTTAACACAGTTTAACAAATTCCTCCTTTCTGGAGTGAAAACACTAACCGTTTAAATGAAAAACAAACTAGTAACTACTAATGTAAGAATCATTATAAAACATAATTACTGTAACACTGAACTAATGTGAAAATGATAATAAAACATAATTATTGTAACACTGTTCTAATAATGTAAGAATGATAATAAAACATAATTATTGTAACACTGAACTAATGTAAGAATCATTATAAAACATAATTATTGTAACACTGTGTATTAATGTAATGTCCTTCCATATTTGGTCATCAGTTGCTTCCTTCTGCTCTGGTCTGATTACATTATAGTTTCCTGGCAAATTTCCCAGAACACAGCCAGACCAGGCCTTTCTGCTCACCACCAGAACATGTCCAGACTTGTCTCTCTACACCCAAAGACTGTCCCTATACTTCTATTATTCTGATTTCAGTCCTTTATGTTATACAGAATCATAACTTTATCACATAACTTCATCAACACAATCATGATTAATACATTCCTTCAATCATTACTACTTAATACTTTTCACCTTGATTCAGTATGATTATACATTCAGTTGTAATTTCTTATTTAACTGATTTATAAACAATCAACTTCAGATTTTACTTACTTCATAATCATCAAACATAACACAATACATAGTTCATAATCAACATTGAATCATAACACAAGATTACTTCAGTCTCTTAGGCCCGTTATGATCTGTTTTCTGCATGAACCCTGGACAGATCTCACCTTTTCACACCAGTTTTCTTGACAGCAAGAATCATTATAAAATAATTATTGTAACACTGAACTAATGTAAGAATGATTGTAAAACATAATTATTGTAACACTGTGTCTGTCCCCCAGAGCGTTAGCTGCAGATCAGCACCAGCATCCCTCCAAACCTCACTGGGAACAATGGTTTAGAAATAAAACTCTTATTTTGGTGCCTTGGTGTCCAAAGTCCTCATTTCTTTCTTTTTGCTGTTGAGACAGACACATAAGCAGAAATATTATTTATTCAATGTTTCTATGCACTTCAGTTCATACAATGTTGGCACACGATGCACTGAAAGAGAAAAGAGTTATTAGACTGGGACTTTACCGTTACATCAGGACGAGGTTCTGCCTCAACTGTCTGAACTTTCACCAGTTAAAAATTAATCCTCCTGGTGCCTGGAGAACCTATAAAATTAATATTTTGTGTTTAAAGAACATTTTATTGTTTTTCAGGTTCTTTGACAAAGTTCACATTGTTATTGCTTAGTTTAAAAAAACTTTAGTGAAACTGAATCTCTGGCTCTGAGCTTCGTGGGCTGAGATTGTTCAGCAGGGACACAACACAGATTTATTTATCTCCCAAAAAACAAAGCGCATAAAAAATATTAGTGTTAAATATCAAACTTTGAAAACAGTGTGGTTGCTGTTTCTACACACATCTAATTTATACTTCCAACACTGTCTACCTTCATTTTCATTTTCTGACTCAAATAATGAAATTGCAAACATTTATAATGAACCTTTAATCACAGACAAACTTGATTAATTATTTCTGTTGTGGTTTGGCTGCAGCAGCAACTCATACAGTCTGTAACTCCTATTGTTACAGGAGTTATCAGGATTTTATTTGGTCCAGTTTGTACACTGTGATTAGTCATAATTTTTGAAAGCAAACAATAACTGCCAAACACAAAGACCAGAGGAAACTACAACTTTAGACAAAGAGGAAGAAAATGTGATCAAACATTTAAATACTTACTGACAGCAACAGATTAAATAATTTTAATTAGCTCAATTCTGTTCACTAACTATACAAATAAGGTTTTAAGTAATTAATTACAGTTAATATAAGTATAAATACCTATTATTCCCTCTGTGCATTTAGATTATCTGATATTTGAGCAGTTTCACTGTCGTCTCCAGACAAAGTTCAATATAAATTATTTACTAATATTGAAAACAATTAAACTCTAATATTACTTCTTCTGACTTGGAATTAATTTCACATATATTCATTAAATGTCCTGCTCAAAACATATCTTATTATTCAACAGTAAGATACAGACAGCATTAAAAAGACATAGTCCGTTTCCCCCTCACTGTCTGGAGTTATAGCAAACCCAATTTATCTTGTTTTAGGTCAGAATTACCGAAATAATTTCTATTTCCTAAATATCACAATATTGACAGTCAAAATACGTCAGAGATTAATTTATTAACGTCTTCAAACTAAACAGTTTACATACAGAATGAGTCTCTTTAAACAATGAGGGAAAGGTCATGTAATCGTATTATTGCTTTGGAAGCTTCTGATAGGTTAACTGATACATTTGAGTTAATTGGAGTCACATCTGTGGATGTTTTTACGTATTTCAGGGCCACAACTGAAACACACTGATTTGTTTGACACGAAAAGGTCAAAAGAAATCAGGAATATCAGATATCAGGAAGAAAACTGTCACGGTTCTGGTTCCAGAACTGTGTGGTTCTGGTTCCGATGCTTGAAAAAGCCTCATTAATCTGTTCAAACATTTATGTAAGTAAACACATGATGGGAATGTCCAACCATCATTCCTCTGAGTAAAGAGATGAGTTCTGTGTAGATGAACAACTATAAATATCTGACATCATTATTCTGGCCTTTAGCAAATAGAAATGATTCTGGTCATTTGTAACTGACCTGAGCAAGAGAGATTTGATCTGATTTAACTTCTAACAGAGAGAATAAATCCACATATGTAGTTTTATTGTGTGCATGAGACACAGGTTTGGTTTGGAAATTACAATTCATGCTGATCCCCTGATATTTGTACTTTCACAATAACAAACTGAACTTTCTCTGCTCAAATGTTACATTTTATTTTGAAATGCATGTTAATATCTCATCATAATTGCCAATATTCTCTCACTTTATTTCACTATAACAGTAAAAATAATGAAGTTTATTCATTTTCAATCAAATTAATCTGTCTTTGAGTGTTTCTGGCATTTTTTGTTTGATAATTTACAGTTTTATGGACCTCAGTCTAAAACTATTTCGCTTTTAGATCATAAAGTTTTGCTAGTTTAGTTTATGGATCTAAATCAAAGCTGCATGGCATCGACTTGTCTCTAAAAGAGGTTTATATAACATTTAATCAAGGCTAATTCTCACTGAGTAAAGAACAATTAAAACACAAGAAAGACACAATATTCATTTCTCACCTTTATACTTCTTGTAAAGAATAAATCCTCCAATGAGACAAAGGAAAACCACAGCAACAGCAAAAACAACAGCAACAGCAACAGCAGCAGCGATGATCAGAGTTTTGATTTTCACTGCTGAGAAGAAAAAACATAATGCAGAGTAAAAGTTTTGTTCATCCTTTTCATCCCATTTTGTCTAAACTCTATAGCTGCGTTTTGTCTTTGTTCATCTGTTGCTTGTTCTGGTTTAAGTTCCCACAACACTTTGACGTTAATTCAATAATAATACTCAGTTTTTGCACATTTTATAAAGAAGCTAATTAAATTAATACAGTGAATGGTTACACAAAGTCAAACAAATCCTAAAACCTCAAAAATAATAAAACAGAAACGTTTAGTTAAAAACGGGTTTTGAAGAATCTCAAACAACTGAAGAAGATTGTAACAGATTAAAATCACTAAAACTGAATGTAAATCTAAAGACACAAGAAAACAGACAGACCATTGTAATCAGTATATATGTGTGTTTATACATACACAAGACAAATAATACAACCTACTGACATTCATTGGTCCTGATTGTAGTTTTCTCCAGTGTGATGACGCCTCTCTCCACTCCAGAAAGCAGAAACACACATTCGTACTTGTTCCAGTCTTCAGGAGGAACAGATTGCAGATAAATGTCGACACTCGTCTGGAAGGTCCCATCATTGTTAGGGAGGATTTCTCCTTTTTTCACATCCTGATAAATCTCCTTCCCGTCTTTCCTCCAGAACATTTCTGCTGTGTTGGGATAGAAACCCGTAGCGAAGCAGCTGACTGGAGAGGAGGAAGATTTCTGGAGGAGAGACACTGATGGAAGTTCTGCAGAGTAAAGAAAGAAAACATTTTTAAATCCTTTAGAAATAAAAACATAATTTGTAACTAATTCATTTACACCAAACACATTTCAAAATCCAGAGAAAGGTTGGTAAGTTGATTTCTGAACAAGGTTGTCTAATGTGGAAGGAAAATGATGATGATACAACAACGTAGTAAAAACTTGTTGCAAAGTCCAAAAACAGTGATTGAAGCATGTTATACAAAACAAAGTTCACATATAAATGTATCAGTGTATTTTAAGTAGTTGTGTATTTTAAACTGCATAACATTTTGCAATACCTGTTTTCATCAGGGAGTTTCTCCCGTAGTTCACATATTTCTTCAGCCACTCAGGACAAATCCGACTAAAGTAGGATTTCTGATTCTTTCCCAAAGCTGCATCACCATCCCATTTGTTTTTGGTGATGAAAGCTTGTTGGGTTGGAGCGATCCAGGTTTGTGTCTGTAGGTCCAGCATGATGAAATCTTTTCCGTCATAACCAAACTGATGATAACCTTTGACCTCTGCAGTCTCATCATCCCACTCACAGCCGTACATCTGCTGGACAACATGAACTCCTGAGACAAAGAGACAAACTGTCAGCAAAACCAGTGACTTTACAACACGACCGTTTGCTTCTAATAGAGTTCTAGTGCAATAAGACAGTTCAACAAAATACACTTTAAATTTAAACCGTGAGTTTATATCTCCACAACACTGACAGTTTCTTTAAGTGGGGTATGTTCATCTGCATCTGCCTTTAGTTGTAATTAGGACAGCACTATATGTCACATATAGTGCTGTCCTATATGTGATAGTGCTACTATTTATATCCCCAGAACCAAACATGGAGAAAATGGGGCAATTCTGGATCACATTTTCAGTTTGAAAGCAGGATTTCATATTTTTTTGTTCTCAAAACGTTTAATACTTTTGCTTACACTTTCAGTTTGAAAGCAGAACTTCATGTCTTTCTTCTTTAAACTTGTAATTCTGCTCTCTTTCAATTTCACTGTGCTTTATCAAAACTTTCTCCTCTCATTCAAAACTTGTTTCTGCTTGAATCAAATCTGTGCTATCTATCTATCTATCTATCTATCTATCTATCTATCTATCTATCTATCTATCTATCTATCTATCTATCTATCTATCTATCTATCTATCTATCTATCTATCTATCTATCTATCTATCTATCTATCTATCAGCACAAACCTCCAGTTTGGTTGAAGCGCTGCTTTAAGATTTCAATGTTGGCTTTGAAGGCCTGCTGGGCTCCCATAAAGTGCGTAGTCTCTCTCTCCCAGTACTGCTGGTCCATGTTCTCCTTCATCCAGTCCTGTTTTGGGACAGTTTTCATTGTGTTGCTGTCATAATAAACCATCTGAACATCATCGACCAAACCAACAGCCACAAACTGTGGGAAGTTTGGGACTTGAGAGGACGCAGTGTAGAAATACTTCAGAGAATGAGAAACTGAAAAAAAGACAGTAAGATGAGAATTTACAACACAACAAAATAATTAAACATTTTTACAAGTTAAACCAAGCAACATAAGGAATAATTATAACAACAGCCAAACTTTACATTAAAAGATCTTTCAGAAGGTTTTTAATCTTTTTGATACATTTTGAAGGGTTTAGTGACTAAACCTAAATTATTTTATGGAATAAATATTTACTGTATTCAGTTTTAAGCCAAAAAACAAGATTTATTTAGTATTCTACATAATATTAATTATGTACTGATTCTCAGAGGTTTGTGGATGGAAACCCAAAAGATTTGACCAAAGGCTACAATTTAAAAGACAGTCATCACTGACACTCAACAAATAAACCTCAGAATAAAGTTACAGAGAGACTTCTGAAAAATGATCTTGCTACGTTTTCTGGCATTTAGCAAATAGAAATAATTTTGATAATTCTACCTAAGCTAAAGCAAGAAAAATTTGGTCTGACTTAATTTCAGAGAGTAAGAAAAATTTATATTTTTATTCAGGGTATGTAAATATATTCAAACTGTTTATAAAAAGGCAAAACACTGTTAACAGTATATCTGGTGCCAAAGATTTTCCAAAAATAATTAATAATTCTGTTACAAATTAAAGTCACATTCAGTTAGATTTTGTAAAAAAAAATATTTTTTTAAATAATGAACTGATATTAAAACTAAGAGAAAATCCTTGGTCACTATTGATGTAAGAAATAAACACATTCATTTTAAAACATTGCCTGTGGGATTAATAAAGTTCATTCATTCATTCATTCAGTATTCAATGTTCCTCAGTGAAACAATAAATTTACATTTATAACTGGAGTTTAATATAAATGGTAATGAGGACAAAATCACGATGAGATCTTTTTTTGTATGTTTGTTTTTACCGGAATAATTAAATATAATTTTCATAAGGCACTTTATAGGGTTAAAAAGTATCCACAAAAATCACTTCCTTCCTCATGAAACAGTAAAATTCCAGCTCAGTATCAGGATTCACCACAGAACAGCAGCAGGAATAAATAATAAATAGTAGAAAAATAACGGAGAGGAAGAGGAAGTTAAAGGTTTGCTTGTCTTTGAGTGTTTGGTTAACCAGAAGTTAATGGGAACTACACGTTTTCTCTCTAAATATTTATTGTATTCAAATAAAACAAGATAAATAAAGTATTCTGCTGACTTACCAGCTGCAGTGCTGTGGATTCCCAGAAGAAACAAAAGGACAAAATGTGTCATTTTATCGGTCAGACAGCGGCGGTCCTGCTTCTCTCATCCACACAGAAAAAGTGGAAACGGATGTAAATATTAATCTGAACCAATGAAAAAATACCCGAACGATGACGTCACCTAAATCCTGGTGAAATGAACCTCGTTCTCAAAATAAAACTAAAACCTCCTTTTATCACGTCATTACCTCAAACGTTGTTTTAATCGCATTAATAACCGTTAATTTACTATTTCTTTCTAACACTGCAAAAACTTTCTGTCATATTTTAGTCCTTTTTGATTTAGTTATCAAAGTTCCTCTCATGTCAAGTCTTGGATTTGAGAATAAAGTCAGAATGATTTTCTGAAATAATTGTTCAATACATACTTATTTTTTTATTCAACTGTACGGCAGCATTTCTATATTTTTTATAATAAAAATGCTCAATATTTTAAGGAGATACATTTTAAATAACTGTAAGCCTCGTGGTTATTGAGTGAGATAATCCACTCCAGATCTACAGAACAAGAAAAGATGAGCACTAAATATAACTGACAAAACACTTAATTTTCTATCTATAAGTCTGACATAAATGTAATAGTTTTTTACAATTAAAGTGCAGATTCATTCACCTCCATGCAATTAGTGACAGAGTTAAGAAAAGAGGCTTTTTTTATCTCACGAAAACTAAACACCTGATAAAAGCACAGCCATAGACAATCAGTCCTGTTTTTGTTGTAGTGAATTTAATTTAATTATTTTTAATTACAATTATTTTCCCATTAGTTCAAAAGATAAAAACACATTTTAAAAAGGCTCCACTTGTTAGACCAGATATTTCCAGGTTTGAAACATTTTAATTTAATTTATGAGCAGAATGTCTAACTTTCTATTGATGGCAGAGAAGGGACTAAATAAATATATAGATCATTAAATATAGCATGAAATAAATAAATGTTTCATTAATTTTATCTGTCAAGCAAGTTTCTTTATAAAGATAAAAATTGTTTCTTTGTAACTATTTTTTTATTTAAACAATATACATTTCAAAATACTGTCAAAGATTGGTTTTTCTGATGTGGAAGGAAACAAATGACTGATATGAAAATGCAGGACAAATTTGTTATAAAAACCAACAACTGCATGGAAAATGTGACGGAGACATTTTTATACAAAATAAGGTTCACACATAAAAACTTCACATTTTGTAATACCTGTTCTCATCAGTGAGTTTCTCCCATAATTCACATATTTCTTCAGCCACTCAACACATGTCTGAGTTAAGTAGGACTTCTCATATTCTACATCATATTTATCATTAATCCACTTTTGTTTGGTGATCACAGCTTGTGGTTTTGGAGCGATCCATTCCTGTGTTTGTGGGTCCAGGGTGATTAAATCTTCTCCATCATAACCAAACTGATCATAACCTTTGACCTCTCCAGTCTCATTATTCCATTCACAGCCATACATCTGCTGAAAGACGTGAACTCCTGAGACAAAGAGACATCAGTGAATATACAATCTATTAATTTGTCCCAAGTTAATGACTGTTCTATCAAAACTAACTCCTAAACATTCGAACAAATAAATTTAAGAAACTTTCCATTTATGATCCTCTGAAAAATGATTTGTTTAGTTTATTATGTATTTATAAATTTTTATGGGACAATAACAACAAATAATTCATAATTTACTGCTTTACGTTCCAATAGTGTAATGTTATGAAATTTAAGACAATAATTTGAATAGAAACAATTTTCTATGATCAATTTTTTAAATATAGAGGAGCAGAGAAAAATACTGAATGTATTTACATTAAATCCAGATGTAAATACATTCAGATGCACAATAACTAAAATCAGGTGTAAAATAACCACTGATATGGAGCTAAGGCGTAAATTCAAGCTGGGAGAACACAGCTGAGCTACAAACAAAGCTGATCCTCTTCAATCACGTCACACCCTGCTGCGGCCAATCAGGATTGGAGCCCTTGCGCGTCCCAGCCAATCAACGTCAAGCCGGTCCATTCAAGAAGTCGAGCCTCCGGGGATCTGCCTGCTCGTCAGCTGTGCTTCGTCTTTGGTCTGCAGAGCACCGTAGATGTCCTTCCCTTCTTTCACCGCTCAGGTCCAGGAATCATCCCTTGGCCGCCGGCTGCACTTCGTTAATCTTCCAGTGGCTCCTCACAGATCCTACTGCCGCTCCTAGCCTTCCTTCGGCCTCCATCGGCGGCGTCGAAGCGGGACATCTTCCCTTTTTTTATGTCGTGGTCATAAAAAAATTCAATCGTGAGCTCCGGCTCACGATCGTTCAATTGCTGCGGCTCTCTGACGCTGCCCCGCAGTCGTGCGCAGGTTGTCCCCAAGACCTGCTTTGGTTCCTCCTGCTGTTTCTGCTGTCTCATCATAAACTGGCTCCATTAGCCGGACGGTCTCCTCCTGTTCGTCTCCGGGCGTACGCTGCCTCCGGACCACTGCGCTCACTTCCGTGTCTCGGCTCCCAGCCGGCTCTTCAGTCTCATCATACCATAACCTCTCCCGCCCATCGAGGGCGTTGCCAGGTAAGACGTACCCGCTCCTGTCCGTTCATCAGCCGTTCGCTCAGCTCTCAGTCAGTGCACCAGCACTTCAATGCATGTTCATGTCGCCCCTGGGCGGGTCAATCTGTACGTCTCAGGGACAACCGAACGCTTAGTGCAGTCAGCGAGCTGGGTTCACCTCGTCTCAGCCTAATCGGCTCTCAATTCAGCATTTCGTTCTGGCATTCCCCGCCCGGCCCCGAAGCCCTCGCCTCAGTTGCTGGCTTAGATCGCTCCATTCCGCCAGGAGCCCAGTCGCTCCTCGGCACACCCTGCCCTCTAATCCCAGAGGCCCGCAGGCTGTCTGCCACAGCTTCAGCTTATTTAAACAGGATGTGATTCTTTAAAGTCACGGACGAGACCGGGTGTTAAGTCTGGTTCGATAAGGGTTTGTTTCTCTGTTGCTGCTTTTATATTTAGGGGTTGTGCTGTCTGAGTATCTTGATTAGCTCCTGTAATTCTGCCTATTTTTCATTTAAATACTGTATGTGTAATTGGTCGATCTCCTATGCGGCTCTCGCTGGCCACCAGAGAGCGGCGCTCAAGGCAATTTCTGTTTTCTAAGGCGTGTCAGGGTACGCATCTTGGCCCTTCCCGTGTTGCTATTCTAGTTCCTGAATTCAGAGCGAACCGGTTTGTCTTAAACTCAAGTTGCCAACAACCTCTGGCGTTTAAGAGCTCACGCTCATTGCTAAACAAGCGTTTAGCATAATCGCCGAGTCTGAAAATTAATATAAGTCTCACCAGTATTTCAGTAGCTTTTGTATATTCGTGCAATTCGAATGTATTATGGGAATTTAAGTCTCAAGCTTATGATAACGCAGTTCATTGCTTTCTCATGGTTTCCTGCTACCATCTGCTGGACAAATTAGAAATAACGATTATGTCGATCAAGATTTATACCTTTCATTCATTTCCTCTTCTGCATTCCTTCTTGAACTCGCTCAGCCTATGAAAGAAGCCAGGTCTTTTGCTGCCTGTGACTCACGGCCATTACTCTCCCTGAGCTGATCCATCCTTCTTAGAACCAATGCTCGACTAAATGACACTCTACATCCCTTCCTGTGTTCAGTATGTAATTGCACAAAATCGGGCTTCGCCCTTCTACTCCTTCCTCGTTAACGTCGTCCGGCAAACAGTCACCAAGTTCTGCTCAGTTATGAATCCTTCTCCCTTACTCCAGTTCTCTCAGATACTTTAAGACTTCCAGTTCTCACCTTCATCACTCACCGTCTCGATGATTGTTGATCCAAACTTGTCACGTCCAATTCTGCCTGTTGGAATTATTTTCTGTGTAGCGCTTCAGTGATTTAGCACATCATCTAGTCTCTCCTCGATCCCTAGTCAAGGTATCTCCGTATCAAGGGGTCTTCTTTCACCAAGCACTCCTATCATGCGCTTCCTTCCTAGCATCCTTCGAATTTCTTAGTCCGTTCCCAATCCTTCCCTGACCACTACAACCTCATCATAAGCTTGCCAAACGAAAGGCACTACTATCTATTTTGCACCCACAGCCGGTTCAGCATAACCATTGTCCAAGTGTTCCTACAGCTTCTATCTATCGCTCGGCCATCAGCCATCCTCAGCCTTCCATTTCATGTCAGACCGAACTTCAGCTGTGCGCGAAGCTCAACGTTCTTATCCGCTATGTGAAGTATCTTTCAAATGCCTGGTGATGGAGCACTGACAGTCTTTAACACATTCTTACCTAGTAATCCGGCAGACCAGCGGCCTTCGGCCTTTAGTTAGCGCTGACACATCATTCACAGCTCAAAACGCGGCTCGCGCCCCTCGGAGGGCACCCTCCAACAATGTGGCTCGCGCCCCTTGAAGGGCCCCGCTACAGCAGCGTTGTATTAATAATAATAATTTTTAAAAAAGTATTTATATACTTCACTACTTAAGTATTTCGAAGTACAGGGCACTTCAGATACTTTAAGACTTTTAACCAAGTAACATTTCAGTCAGTGACTTCGACTCGACAAAAGTCACATTTTGGAGAGGTTCCTATTCTTTCACCAGAGTGTAGTACTTGTACCACATCGCCCCGCAATATTGCTGCGCCTCAATATTGCAGACAACAGGTCAGCTAGGTCGACCAAGCCCTCTTGCCTAAGCTTCGCCGTACCAACCACCTACTCGGTGATCCTCAGCCAGAAGCTATTAATTCTACCTCATACTCTGTCACCATGTCCAACGTCCTCGCCTTCATCACCCACCGTCAACCTTCGTCAGTCAAATCCCCTATATTCTCAGTCGTTCGCAGGAATCAATCTTCACGCAAAACTTTCGCAACCAAGCACAGCACCCAGTCTCCTTTCGAACCCAGCCGCGAAACTTCCACTCTTCGACCTCTAAGCATTCCACAGGTATCCCAACCGCTGAAGCCTATCACTCTCCCTCTACTCATAAAGCTCATCACCGTGCTCCGAGCTTGTACTTTCTCCAACTACGTTAAAGCGCTCCTCTCCTACGCTCTTCTCCAAGCATCCTATGGTTTCCTCAGGCCGGGCGAGTTCACCTCATCTTCTCCAGTCTTCAACCCTTCAAAAGATTTATCAATCTCCGATATCAAGTTTTTCCCCGACCATTACACCCTCCTAATCAAGCACTCCAAAATAAAAGGTCCTTGTACAATTTCTATCGCACGCTTAGATGGTCCATTTTGCCCCTTCCATGCCACGCTCAAATTTGTGTGCAAAAGGCATCTAATCTATCAGGAAGCTAAACCCCTTTTTATAACTCCCGAAGGCCTCCCCATGACCGCAGATTGGTTTATCCGCCACCTCCGTCTTATTTTACAAGAAGGCGGCCATCTCCCCGATCGTTATTCAGGACATTCATTTAGAATAGGCGCTGCTACATCCGCCCCAGCACAAGGCGTCCCCATCGCTTCCCTCCTCCAGCTCGGCCGCTGGTCATCTTCGGTCTTCACTTCCTACATCAGACCCAATCTCGCAACTGTGCTCGAAGCCCAACGCTCCACGTCATCAGGTGAGCAGTCAGCATGACTGGCGATGTAGTTTTTCTTTTGGGCCATTTTTAACAATTAAATTTTTAGGGGAACCGGCCAGACCAGAGATCCTCAGCCTTCAGCCCGGCAGCAAACGGTCCCCTCTCCGCTCCACATAGCACATCGTGCTCATCAGGCCTGTATACGTCTGTCAGTCCCCGCCAACGACGCGGCTCGTGCCTAACAGTCTATCAGACTGTAGGCCCCCGCTCAGAGCCTGCACACAAGTCCGTCGGACTGCAGGCAGCTAGGCCTCGGCCGGCACCCTCTCTTTTGGGGGTAAGACTAGTGAGCTTCGCCGGACTCAGCATCTCCCCCCCGGCGATCTACGCTCACTAGTCTTCCGCCGGTTCGAGCGCCAAAGATTTGTTCATTAAAATCTCCTAACTGCTTTTTTTCTCTGTGTGAGTTGATCCAGATTGAAATGGAGCTAAGGCGTAAATTCAAGCTGGGAGACAGAACACAGCTGATCTTCAAACAAAGCTGATCCTCTTCAATCATGTCACACCCCGCTGCGGCCAATCAGGATCGGCGCCCTTGCGCGTCCCAGCCAATCAACGTCAAGCCGGTCCATTCAAGAAGTCGAGCCTCCGGGGATCTGCCTGCTCGTCAGCTGTGCTTTGCCCACCTCCTCCCCATCTCCACCTTCAGCCCGATGTCCATTCTCCAGGTGCCCTACGCGCTCCTCCATCCAAGGCTCTGCTCCATCACCAGTTTTTGGACCGGGGGGGTAAGACTAGTGAGCTTCGCCGGACTCAGCATCTTCCCCCGGCGATCTACGCTCACTAGTCTTCCGCCGGTTCGAGCGCCAAAGATTTGTTCATTAAAATCTCCTAACTGCTTATTTTTCTCTGTGTGAGTTGATCCAGATTGAAATAATAATTACACAAATAATGTGGGAAACCTAAAAATATGTGAGATGTAGAAAGTGAATCATGAACAAACCTTCAGTCTGGTTGAAACGTTTTTTTGCAATTTCTAGGTTTGCTGTGAGGATTTGCTCTTTAACCAGACATGTCTCTGTTTCCTCCTTCCAGTAATCAGGATGTTCTGAAGTCACTTTATTCATCCAGTCCTGTTTAGGGATGGTTTTGTTGATGATGTTGTCACAGTAACTTATCTGAACTCCATCCACAAACCCAACAGAGACGTATGATGGAAAGTTTTCTATTCCTGAAGATGCTGAGTAGATATACTTCAGAGAGTGGGTCACTGTAAGAAAAAGACATTTCTGAATATTTTAACATTACTCAATTATTACTCACATCTACCATAAACCAAAGACATCAGGTTCTGTTCTGATAGATGAAAAAATATAAAACACATCTAGGTTTTATATTTTGCTTACTTATCTGTCCATAACCTTTACAATATTTAAACAAGATAATTTAGCAGCAACACAAACTCACTTTGAAATAATGAATCTAACCTTTTGAAATGTTGAATGTCTTTGCTAAATTGTGATAATTTCATTATAAGAATACCTTACATTTTCATCACACATTAATTAAGATTCCTTATATTTTCACCAGAAACCCAGATTAACCAAACTAACCATCACAATATTTAATATTATTCTGAAACTTCTCTTTTATCAATACCAAAACCTTTTCTCCATGTGGAAATCAGAAATTATTTCACCATTTAAAACTGTTAAAATGGTCTCTCTTAAGCTTTTAATGAATTTCATTTTTTATTTGTAAGGAAATAAAAGGTCCACTGGAACCATTTTATTGTTTTCACTGTTAGCAGATAAAGACGCATCTGCTAACAACTTTCTGGAGTTGATAACCGTTTTCAAAAATACTCTTATCTATCCATTTTCTAACACTTTTGCCCCTAGTGGGGTCGGGAGTTACTGATGCCTCTCCAGCTGCGTTCCAGGCGAGAGGTGGGGTCACCTGGACAGGTCACCAGTCTGTTGCAGGGCAACACAGAGACACACAGGACAAACAACGACACACATAGACACCTAGGGAGAATTTAGAAAGACCAATTAACCTGACAGTCATGTTTTTGGACTGTGGGAAGAAGCTGGAGGACCTGGAGAGAACCCACGCATGCAAAGGGAGAACATGCAAACGCCGTGCAGAAAGACACCGGACCGGGAATCAAACCCAGGACCTTCTTGCTGCAAGGCAACAGTGCTACCAACTGCTCCTCTGTGCAGCCCCCATTTAGGATCGACAAAAATTTTTGAATTCGAATGCATTAACCAGCACAAAATACTTCAGCTCTGACTCAAAACAGTTTAAATATTTCAACAACAGACCCTTCAATAATCAACATGAAGCCAAGTTTATGTTATGACTCTCAGTTTTTCTAGTGTGCACTATTATTATATTACTTAGAATTATCATTTACCCTGAAGTTGTCAACAAAATGACTACAGTTAATTACACCTGAAAAAATAAATGCAGAAAATAGTTTAATGTGCTTCATAGAGTTTAATTGATAATTATTGCAAGTAAAGTAGCAAAATAAAAACTTATTTAATGCGCTGCTTTGTTTCAATTTGGCTGGTAGGTGTGGATGAGCCAAAACTTTCTTAAGTTGAATGAAACAAAACTAAAGTTATTATCTTTGGACCTAAAGAGGAATGATCTAAAGTCAGAACACAGCTTCAGTTATTACAACTATAACCAGTAATCAGCCAGAAACCTTTGACTATTGATGAACTCTGACCTGAACCTTCAAAGACACATAAAGACGGTTACAAAGTCGGCCTTCTATCACCTGAAGAACATCTCCAGGATTAAAGAACTGATGTCTCAGCCAGATCTAGAGATCCTTTATATCTAGACTAAAAACCAGCTGTTTAAAGTTGCTTTTGAAAATAATCATGAAACATTAATCAATAATCTGATGTGTAATGAGGACAAAATGTAATGTTGACTGAGTGCTTTGTGACCGTATTTTTGTGTTTTTATGATACACAACATTTTGAAATTCCTTACTGCTGTAACGTGCTATACAAATAAATTTGATGACTGATTGATATTAGATGAAGACACGCTAAACTAACAGAAGAAGCATTAAAATCTGAAAAAACATTGGGGCTCACAATGTGAATTATAAATCCTCAAAAACTCTTAAACTTTATCCAAAATGTTTATTAAACAATAAGCGCAACAAACTCACTGACGGCCATTTTACATGTCGCCAAACCCAACACTGCTGTGACATAACATGCTGCCATTTTGGATACTGCAGCCCAAGCCGCTCATCTAGACAATGTAAAAATATTAATAACATAAGGTTTTAAAAAAGTAAGAAAAAACTTAACAATCAGTCCAATTTGTTTAATTTCAGACAATTCTCTTTTAAATAAGTGAATAAAATGTTTAACCTTCTGCATCCAGTACCAGGAACTATTATCAAACAAACTTTAAAAAACACAAAGTTCTTATAAAAAACTAATCTGTAAATATTTGAAATGTCGAACTCACCAGCGGTGGATCCTTCAATTCCCACTAGAATCAGAAATATTAAGGGCGTCATTTTTCTGATGTCGCTTCACATCTTTAGCTCCAGTTTCAAGCAGCTCATTTCTTCCTTCGTGAGAACAGACTGGACAGGTAAACAAGGAAGAAGAGCAGGTGAGGGTGTGTCTGATGTCAGCTTTCAGCTCAGCCAATCAGAGCGTCCTGGATGCCAAGCGTCACTTAAATCTGGGTTAATCAGACTTATGAAGGTTTGAAGTGAAAGTGAAAGTTAACTGTTATTAGGTCAGCTTAAATGGAAGATAAAAGCTGATATTTTTTCTATTCAGTTCGGAAGGGAAATTAAAATATCTGACACAATGCACTGAATATAATGTTCAATGTAAACTAATAAGTTTGAACTGATTTTGTTATTATTATTTTATACCTAGATTAAAATTTATTTCACAAATTCCCCTTTTTCCTATTTCCTTTTTTAAAATTATTATTATTTCTCTTAAGTTCTTGCTTATATATTTATAGTGTCATTTATTTAGAAAAAAAATCACAAATAACAGAAAAAATTTTTTTAGGTTGTTTTAAAACTAAATTTGCTTGTTACATGTCTAAAAATATTACGCAACAATTAAAACTGTCACAAAATATTTTACTTAGTCAGCGTCTGCTCACAGACTAACCAAAATATAATCAAACCATTGGAAAATCTCTATTCAATTTAAATTAAAAAAATACTTTATTGATCTCTAAGGGAAATCAAATGTAGCTGTAACTCATTAATTCACATTGCATTCCTTTGCTGACTCCTTCAGGGCAGGAAGTTCATCCATCCTGTTTGCTGTAATCAGAGTTCAACACCTAAAACCTGGTGACCAAATTGCATTGTTGTTGTTCTCCTGAGGCGCAAACAAAAGGTGATGAAATTATGTCACTTCCTGTTTCCTCACTTCCTCTGTCAGATTGAGAAGCCTGTCTGAAATCGTTTCAGACCTTTTTACACACAGCCAGCAGTGAGTTTCTTGCAGTAAAGCCTCTTATTGATCTAACAAAATCATCTCCCAAACTCTTTTTGCTGCCAGTTAAAGCTAAATATATCAGCTCTGCTCTATCCAACCACAGCAGCGGCCCATCAGAACACAAACTTTGGACCCATTTACACTTTGAAAAACAAGGTTTGTACGATTTAATGATTTTATCTTGTGTAATATGATGAAAACAAATAATTACAATAGTAAATTTATTTTTTGATTGTTTTCTATGAAAATAGGATGAAAGCTAAAGGTAACCAATCATTTGTTTTGGTGATTTTAAGTTGAAGTGTTATACAAACAAGTTACTGTTTTTGTTTGTTTGTTTGTTTTTTACCTACAGCTCAGATTATTTGTTTTTTTTTCTTTTGAACTAAATTCATCTCCCTGTGGGATCTCTACTTATTTATTTTGCTCCTGAGTTGGCTACAATTAATTTCCCCCTCTAAACGTCGTCTTTGGGGTTAATGTGACCATTTTCTTGTGATGAGCTCCTCCTGAACCTGGACTATGAAATTAAACTATTCAGTTTGATTAAGAAACCCAGGAGACTGTTTAGATAGGTAATAGACTTAGACTTAGACATGTACTTTATTGATCCCTTGGGAAGACTCCCTCAAGAAATTGAAGTTACCAGCAGCTTACAGGCAGAAAAGTGGCGCACAGTGTGCAAAATACAAAAGAATACAAGAAATACAAATTAAATACAAAGGTACACACTAAATGTGAGTAGCCAAAATCCTAAATTAAGCAAAAATAAGCAAGGTATAAGAATATAAATAAAATATAAATAAAAATATAAATACAACAAACTGATCAGGCGTGCCGGCTCTGTGGTCGGCATGAAGCTGGACTCTCTGGTGACGGTGGCAGAGGCGAGGACACTGAACAAACTGCTGGACATCATGGACGATAGCAGCCACCCTCTACACGACGTCATCAGCAGCCAGAGGAGCCTGTTCAGTGACAGACTGCTGCTTCCCAAGTGCCGGACCAATAGATTCAAGAACTCCTTTGTCCCCCACGCCTTCAGACTGTACAACTCCTCACTGGGGGGTCGGAGGTGACACAGGACAGAGGGAAGAAGGAGTACTTTTTCTACAAATGTGAACTCCATATTTATCAGGCCAAACCATACAGTGCAATACCATATCACTGGTCAATCTATCCACCAAATTGCTATAATTTCCTTTTGTGTTGTATTTATATTCTTTGTTTTGTATTTAATTTGTATTTTTTTGTATTTTGTGTATGCTTACTGTGTGCCACATTTTTGCCTGTGAGCTGCTGGTAACTATAATTTCCTGAGGGAGTCTTCCCAAGGGATCAATAAAGTCAAGTCTAAGTCTAAGTCTCTCTAAGTCTAAAAGAAAATATAGGAATTTGGCAGATAGATTGACCAGTGATATGATATTGCACTATATGGTTTAGCCTGATAAGTGTGGACAAGGGGTCACTACTCCTTCTTCCCTCTGTCCTGTGTCACCTCCGACCCCCCAGTGAGGAGTTGTACAGTCTGAAGGCGTGGGGGACAAAGGAGTTCTTGAATCTATTGGTCCGGCACTTGGGAAGCAGCAGTCTGTCACTGAACAGGCTCCTCTGGCTGCTGATGACGGCGTGCAGAGGGTGGCTGCTATCGTCCATGATGTCCAGCAGTTTGTTCAGTGTCCTCGCCTCTGCCACCGTCACCAGAGATGATCTCATGTTACCATTATGATAAATGAAAGATATGATTTGAACTTTCTGCTTCCATCTCTCCTCTTTGCTCCTGCACACAGGGAAACAGTACAGCTTCAGATGTTTCCATGAACATCTGAACTGAAGATAATTTTGAAGAGCAAACAATGAGTGTAACCATGTCTACACATCAACTGCACTGGAATATTGAGTTCCAGTGCTCTTAATGGAATGAGTTTATCTCATTCCATACTGTGATAACTGACTTGATGATTGGATCTCTCTCAAACACTGACTTTTCTACAATACTCTAACTTTGCTCTATATATATCAACATGATACTAAATTAATTGTATGAATTTATGAAAATCTGATCATTTAGAAATACATACTGCCCACCTCCATTTGTTATTAGTTTGTACTCAATGGTGTTGGCTGTTATGGTAAAACTTTCTAATTTTTCCGCAACAATAAAGAAAATGTTTCCAAAAAAGATTTTACTGGTTCACAATATTGCTGCCTGCTGGAACATGAAGGCCTACAAACGGCCAAATAACTAATGAGTTCTTCACTGCTGTGAGGGAACGTCCCCTTCAAGGGAAGGAATCTGTTTTTTTAATTATTTTCTTAATTGTTATTCCTTTTCCAAGGCGCACATGAAGCAGCAGCACACAGGATCTGTTACGGCCCAACGCCTTGTTCCTGTGTGCATCCACAGCACTGATTACCTTTCTTTTAGAAATGATTATTGTATCATTGTTGTGCTTAAAATAGAGCTTAACTGCTTTTTAATCTGTACTTTTATTAGTATATAGTCTGCACTAATACAGTATTAATATTTTCCATTTAAATCTCTACTAATACAACCTCTGTTCCAACTTTATCAGAGAAAATTATGCAAATATTGACTTGTCTAGAAATTAAATTAGGACATGTCATTATCACTATAATGCAAATCATTTTTTAATATTCAACAGTTAGATATTAATATATTGGTAGCTAATTAACATATAAATATAATTTATTATGTTACTCTAACCACAACAGTATCTACTATGTCCATTTAAATCTGATTCATGTGTTACATCTTATTTACTGTTATGTTTTCACCCTATAGTTACGTTTTCTAATTATATATTTATATGCCCACAGCTGGTATATTAATGGCTGATTCTTTCACATAATTAAACCTAGAAACCAGACAAAATGGACATAAACTCCTCTGGTCAGAATTATTGTTTGAATAAAAAGTTTAGTATCATTATTTACAGAACAATGGCAACATCTTTCTAGACAAAAACATCTAGAAACTGTCAATATTATTTCATTTAACAGTTTGAGTATTTCAAGTCAAGTCCAGTTTGTTTGTACTATACATTTCAACAACAATGCAGTTCAAAGTGCTTTGCATCATAAATGCACAAAAATATAAAGTCACAGACTCAGTCAACAATTGAAACACTGCATTTTGTTAAGTGCCTTCATTACACATCAGAATGTAACACACAGTTGGATAAAGCATCTATTATCCAACATTATCCGTTGTGAGGTAGGAAAGGTGCTGGTCCTGCCAACAGGTGAGAGGCGGGGCCAACAGTCCATCAGGCATTATAACCAGTTAGTGTTCATGTTCCTCAAATTTTAAATATAGATTCACAAGGCATCTGTTGAATCTTGACATCAATAACATTTCAGCAACACGTTTCTTGTGTCACTGGAAACTTTATTGATGAACCTGCAGAGAGAATAAAACAAAGATTTAGTTACAAAGAAAGTGACAAAATTAAACACATTTAATTACACATGGTAAATTTACAGAACCCAAAAGCTGCGATAAAATCAAAACTGTTTAAGACTAAATTCCAAGTGACCCAAAAATAAATCCAAACAGAAATGACTCAAAATTTAAATGATTGAATTTTCTTGCTCTGAGTTTTTGTCTTCCTTTCTGAGTGTTTTTCTTTTAAACATTATAAACAGGAAGCAGTTTCTTCAATATAATCAATTAAACAAACCATAAAATCAAAAATTTACTTCAATAACTTTCACCAAGGAGAACCGTCCCGATTTAACAACATCAACAAAATCACAAAGTCTATAAAAACAAAACTAAATAAACTAATATCTTCAACCAATGATGTACCTCAAATTCTGATCACTTAATTGGAAAATATTATACCATCCTAATAGAAAATCAATTTTGGAATCTTGTTTGACAAAGTTAGGAGAAAAAAATCATATGTTAATTCACATATAAGTCAATTTCATTTTTATTGCAACACCAATTGATTATGTTCTGTTTTGTTTTTGCTTTGAATGTTTCAATTTTAATGTAACTTGTAAACTTCATTGTTTGTTTTTGTTTTGTTTTTGTTTGTTTGGTTATTTTATTTCTATTTCTATGATTCGTTCTATTATCTGGTTATTTCTTTTTGTAGATCAATTCCCCTTTTTACTTTTGGTCATTCTATAATGTTTGCTATATATAAATAATTTTTATACACGATCAAGTGAATAAAAACATGATGGTGAATAAAAAAAATAATATAGATAAAAATATAAACATTTTGATTAAAAGAAATAAAAGTTCAGTGGGATGTAAAAACACATTTTTATAAAACTATTAACTTAGCTTTTCAATCAGCTTCAGAATCTTTTTATTTGTCTCAACCAGCAGATTTTTTGTTTCCTGAAAACTTCCTCTATTAACTGCCTCATAATTTCCATAAATAGACTCCTGTATAGTTTTGTTGCATAAATGCAAAATACAGGTCAATCCCATAATTTCCTTATTTTTTAAATGATTCAGTTATTCTATAAAATATTGTATTACTAACAATAATGTTTTTTATGCATCTTTTACAAAGTCAGAATGTTCTGCTGTTTAACCAAATAATTGGGGCCGTAGACATTATTTTTCTAAAACTGACCAAGCATCTTCCAAAACTAGAGATTCTCTTTTCCTCCTGCTCGTTCCATTCAGTTTCACTTTATATTTAAAGCACCGATTCAGAGCAGGTCATCTCAAGACACGTCACAATGTAAAACACAAACAATTTTATGTGTCTTTTTTAAAAAGATCTGATCTTTTTTTTTTTGAGAGTCAGACAGGAAACACTGTGAGAGAGCAATGACATGGGGCAAAGGTCATCAGGCCAGGAATTGAACCTGCGATGGTCACATTAAGGATAAAGCCTCCTTATGTGGATTGTACTTAAACACTGAGCCACAACAACCTTTATGTATCTATTTCTAAAAAGGTTTGCATGATAATAAATGAAGAATTTAACATGATTAAATCTTTTGATTTTCAAACCAACCACCAATTTTAACAGGTAAAAAAGTTACACACAGATCTTGTGCTTATTAAAAATAGTTTTGTTCAACATTCATCAACTCACTTTTTGGTGTTGACCTGTTTAGTTTTTTTCAATCAAGTGGAAGAAATTGTTTTTTTTTTTCTGCAGGCCGACCGTTCTCCACAGCTATAGACAAAAAGCATGTTAATAAATGTTCTGTTACATATTTTACAAGCCAATGTAAAATATGCAGAAATTATCTCCAGCAACATTAGATAGAAATATTTTCAGAAAATACAGATAGTGAGTGGCTTTACTTGTTTACTTACGAGAAGGCGGACGCTTGACTGAAACAGAGAAAAATAAGAGCAACTTTAGACCTTACCTTTAAAAAACAACTTTCTTTTCTGCTTTATTTTTACAGATTTCACACAGTGGCCATTTTTAGGTGAAAATACATGTAAGCAAATAATTCAGTACTACTTTAACTGGGCTAAATTTAGTAGTTATGATTTAAAGTGAGACATTTTTGAAAATCTGGAATCAGTTTTCAGCCTTAATAAAGAAATTAGTCTCAGACTCAGGAATCATAAATTACTGTCCAAGTCTTCCTACCAGATAAGCCACAGAATATTATAATAGTTCAATGAATGTGTTGTGTGATTATTATGATCTTAATGTTATGGCTAAATTGAGAATTTTTTTTGCAATTAGAAAGAATTTTCTTTCTCAGAGATTTTTTGAACACTAAATTTCTGTTTGTAACAAACTTGGTCACAGAAGAGACGCTGCTGTATGAGAATCATTTCCATTTGGAAATTACAATTCATGCCAATTAACTGGCATTTGTACTTTTATTAAAACAAACTAAGCTTTATCTCCGGTGACATCCAGTAGCAGCATGTACAGCAAGACTTTTAATTCCAGTTCAGTATAAATAACATTTCATCATAAACTTACAAGCATTCAATACATTGATGGTTTGTATATAAAAAAAATTCTTGCACACTGATATTATTGCCCAGGACAAAACTTGTTTATACTGAATCAAATGATGGTGTTGCTGAGCTCAAATGTTCTGGTATTTTTCAATGATTTACAGTTTTTTTCATGAATTTAAATCTAATTTTCAACCATTTTTAAAGCAGGAAGTCTTGCCTGGTCGATGCACAGATGAAATGGGTCTGAACTACAGCTACACATGGACGCATCATTAACTCATGTCTAAATTAAATTTACCATTTAAATTGGGTTTATTTTCATCTTAAAACCAACAACCAAAATACCCATTTCTCACCTTTCTTCCTGTAAACAATGAATCCAGTCACAGCAATGAGACCGAGGACGGCCACAGCAACAACAACAAAGATGATCACATTGATGATATTTGCTGTTGAGAAAACAAACCAGGTCACATTCAGAGTAACAAGTTTCTTTATGTCTTTATCCCACTTTGTCTAAATATCATCATGTTTTAGCTTTTCTCATCTTTTGCTTGTTCTGATTTCTGTTCTCTACATTTCTCTTGCACTAAACACACAAACCTCAAATATTTAATTAATCACTTTTAAGTCATTCTTAAAAATTGTTCACTTAATCAGAGTGCAAATGTATTTTCAGGTTTTATAAATGAAAGTATAAAGTTACACAAAGTCAAACAACCTAAAACCAATACGTTAGACAGTTTTAGATGAACCTGGTGTTGATTTTACTCTTGTAAAAACAAAAAGAAGCACAAACACTTAGAGCAGATTGAATTAGCAGCAAATTACTTGTTTCAACTTTTACTTTATGGTACATGTTGAGATAATAATGCTGAGATAAATGATTGTGTCTGTGACCTAAAACTGGATGTAAATCTAAAAACACAATTAATCAGTCAGAACATTGTAATAATCAGATATTTAACAAGCAAATGTAGCATTTTATATAATTACTTACATTCATTGGTCCTGATTCTTGTTTTCTCCAGTCTATTGATCATGTCTTCATCGACTCCAGAAAGCTGAAACACACATTCATACTTGTTCCAGTCTTCAGATGAAAGAGATGACAGATCGATGTCAACATTCATCTGGAAGGTCCCATCATTGTTGGGGAGGATCTCTCCTTTGACTACACCATCATGAATCTCCTCTCCATCTTTCCTCCAGAACATTTCAGCTCTGTTAGGATAGAAACCCGTAGCGAAGCAGCTGATCTTAGAGGAGAACGACTTCTGGAGGAGAGACACTGATGGACGAACTGCAGAGCATATGGAGCAAATATTTTTAGTTATTTTATAAATATAAACATATTTTTTTACTACTAAGTAATTATTAACAGTATAGATTTCAGCTTACAGAGAAAACTAAAAATGAAAATTAAAAACAGGTTAAAAATAGGATAAAACTGATGAAGTTTATATAAAACAAGGGAAACACATAAATGTAACTTTGCACTGAACAACGTTATGTTATGTAATACCTGATCTCATCAGTGAGTTTCTACCATAGTTCACATATTTCTTCAGCCTCTCAACACATATATGAGTTAAATAGTTCTTCTCATGTTCTTTAATAGCTCTATTATTATTCCATTTGTTCGCCGTGATCACAGCTTGTGGTTTTAAAGCGATCCATTGTTGTGTCATTAGGTCCAGTGTGATTAAATCTTCTCCATCATAACCAAACTGATCATAACCTTTGACCTCTCCAGTCTCATCATCCCACTCACAGCCGTACATCTGCTGAAAGACGTGAACTCCTGAGACAGAGAGACATCAGTGAATTTAAAACACAATCTATTAATTTGTGTATTTTAATGTAATACTGATCTATCAAAAATAAACTCCTAAACTTTTGCACAAATTAACTAAATTAACGCTTTGAAAAAAAACACCAACTTTAGACTTATGCCCCTCTTCAAAAATAATTCATTTTGTTTACCATTTGTTCATAACTCTAAAAGGGACAATAGCAACAAATAATTAAACATTTACTGCTTTATGTTCCAAAAGTTTAACATTATGGGTTTTAAGACAGGAATTGTTATAGAAACATTCTCAAGTTTCAGAGAACAGAGGAAGGTAGAAAAAAAAACTATTTGCTGGAAATTTACTGGATTAGAAACAGAAGTTAATACTTTTAGATGCACAATAACTAAAATCATGTGTAAAATAACAATTGCACAAATAATGTGGGAAACTTAAAAAATTTGTGAGATGTAGAAAGTGAATCATGAACAAACCTCCAGTCTGGTTGAAACGTAGTTTGGCAATTTCTAGGTTTGCTGTGAGGACTTGTTGTTTATCCAGACATGTCTTAGTTTCCTCCTTCCAGTAAGTTGGATGTTCTGAAGTCACTTTATTCATCCAGTCTTGTTTAGGGATGTTTCTGTTGGTGTTGTCACAGTAATTTATCTGAACTTCATCCACAAAACCAACAGAAATGTATAATGGGAAGTTTTCTATTCCTGAAGATGCTGAGTAGATATACTTCAGAGAGTGGGTCACTGTAAGAAAAAGACATTTTTGAATATTTTAACATTACTCAATTATTACTCATATCTACCAAAACCAAAGACATCAGGTTCTGTTCTGATAGATGAAAAAATATAAAACACATCTAGGTTTTATATTTTGCTTACTTATCTGTCCATAACTTTTACAATATTTAAACAAGATAATTTAGCAGCAACACAAACTCACTTTGAAATAATGAATCTAACCTTTTGAAATGTTGAATGTCTTTGCTAAATTGTGATAATTTCATTATAAGAATACCTTACATTTTCATCACACATTAATTAAGATTCCTTATATTTTCACCAGAAACCCAGATTAACCAAACTAACCATCACAATATTTAATATTATTCTGAAACTTCTCTTTTATCAATACCAAAACCTTTTCTCCATGTGGAAATCAGAAATTATTTCACCATTTAAAACTGTTAAAATGGTCTCTCTTAAGCTTTTAATAAATTTCATTTTTTATTTGTAAGGAAATAAAAGGTCCACTGGAACCATTTTATTGTTTTCACTGTTAGCAGATAAAGACGCATCTGCTAACAACTTTCTGGAGTTGATAACCGTTTTCAAAAATACTCTTATCTATCCATTTTCTAACACTTTTGCCCCTAGTGGGGTCGGGAGTTACTGATGCCTCTCCAGCTGCGTTCCAGGCGAGAGGTGGGTCACCTGGACAGGTCACCAGTCTGTTGCAGGGCAACACAGAGACACACAGGACAAACAACGACACATATAGACACCTAGGGAATTTAGAAAGACCAATTAACCTGACAGTCATGTTTTTGGACTGTGGGAAGAAGCTGGAGGACCTGGAGAGAACCCACGCATGCAAAGGGAGAACATGCAAACGCCGTGCAGAAAGACACCGGACCCGGATCAAACCCAGGACCTTCTTGCTGCAAGGCAACAGTGCTACCAACTGCTCCTCTGTGCAGCCCCCATTTAGGATCGACAAAATATTTTTGAATTCGAATGCATCAACCAGCACAAAATACTTCAGCTCTGACTCAAAACAGTTTAAATATTTCAACAACAGACCCTTCAATAATCAACATGAAGCCAAGTTTATGTTATGACTCTCAGTTTTTCTAGTGTGCACTATTATTATATTACTTAGAATTATCATTTACCCTGAAGTTGTCAACAAAATGACTACAGTTAATTACACCTGAAAAATAAATGCAGAAAATAGTTTAATGTGCTTCATAGAGTTTAATTGATAATTATTGCAAGTAAAGTAGCAAAATAAAAACTTATTTAATGCGCTGCTTTGTTTCAATTTGGCTGGTAGGTGTGGATGAGCCAAAACTTTCTTAAGTTGAATGAAACAAAACTAAAGTTAATTTCTTTGGACCTAAAGAGGAATGATCTAAAGTCAGAACACAGCTTCAGTTATTACAACTATAACCAGTAATCAGCCAGAAACCTTTGACTATTGATGAACTCTGACCTGAACCTTCAAAGACACATAAAGACGGTTACAAGTCGGCCTTCTATCACCTGAAGAAACATCTCCAGGATTAAAGAACTGATGTCTCAGCCAGATCTAGAGATCCTTTATATCTAGACTAAAAACCAGCTGTTTAAAGTTGCTTTTGAAAATAATCATGAAACATTAATCAATAATCTGATGTGTAATGAGGACAAAATGTAATGTTGACTGAGTGCTTTGTGACCGTATTTTTGTGTTTTTATGATACACAACATTTTGAAATTCCTTACTGCTGTAACGTGCTATACAAATAAAATTTGACTGATTGATATTAGATGAAGACACGCTAAACTAACAGAAGAAGCATTAAAATCTGAAAAAACATTGGGGCTCACAATGTGAATTATAAATCCTCAAAAACTCTTAAACTTTATCCAAAATGTTTATTAAACAATAAGCGCAACAAACTCACTGACGGCCATTTTACATGTCGCCAAACCCAACACTGCTGTGACATAACATGCTGCCATTTTGGATACTGCAGCCCAAGCCGCTCATCTAGACAATGTAAAAATATTAATAACATAAGGTTTTAAAAAAGTAAGAAAAAAACTTAACAATCAGTCCAATTTGTTTAATTTCAGACAATTCTCTTTTAAATAAGTGAATAAAATGTTTAACCTTCTGCATCCAGTACCAGGAACTATTATCAAACAAACTTTAAAAAACACAAAGTTCTTATAATAAAACTAATCTGTAAATATTTGAAATGTCGAACTCACCAGCGGTGGATCCTTCAATTCCCACTAGAATCAGAAATATTAAGAGCGTCATTTTTCTGATGTCGCTTCACATCTTTAGCTCCAGTTTCAAGCAGCTCATTTCTTCCTTCGTGAGAACAGACTGGACAGGTAAACAAGGAAGAAGAGCAGGTGAGGGTGTGTCTGATGTCAGCTTTCAACTCAGCCAATCAGAGCGTCCTGGATGTAAAGCGTCACTTAAATCTGGGTTAATCAGACTTATGAAGGTTTGAAGTGAAAGTGAAAGTTAACTGTTATCTGTTATTAGGTCAGCTTAAATGGAAGATAAAAGCTGATATTTTTTCTATTCAGTTCGGAAGGGAAATTAAAATATCTGACACAATGCACTGAATATAATGTTCAATGTAAACTAATAAGTTTGAACTGATTTTATTATTATTATTTTATACCTAGATTAAAATTTATTTCACAAATTCCCCTTTTTCCTATTTCCTTTTTTAAAATTATTATTATTTCTCTTAAGTTCTTGCTTATGTATTTCCAGTGTCATTTATTTGGTAACCAAAAAAAAAGCCCAAATAACAGAAACAAAAATTAATAATAATTTTAGGTTGTTTTAAAACTAAATTTGCTTGTTACATGTCTAAAAATATTACACAACAATAAAAACTGTCACAAAATATTTTAGTTAGTCAGCATCTGCTCACAGACTAACCAAAATATAATCAAACTATTGGAAAATCTATTCAATTTAAATTAAAAAATACTTTATTGATCTTGTTAAGAATTAAAAAGAGGAATAACTTAATTTAGCTCATTAATTCATTCCTCTGATCCCGAATTCCTGTGTCTCAATATGTGTGCAGTGAGAAAGAGCAATCATACGACGTCAGACTTCAGATATCCAGAGTTTTATCTAGAGAAAATCAACGCGAAAAGAATGTTACAATAAGCATCTCACCTAGATCATCAAAAGTCCAAGACATGACAAAACAGAAACAATTAACTGAGTTGAAAGGGAAACAGAAACAGAAACAAACAAAAGATGCATCTTCTGGGAACCTCTCACTCAGCACAAAGAGATTCGAACTTCTGCTGTAAAACAAACCATTTTATAAGAATGTGTATTCTCCTCATTTAAATATATGCATTAGGAGGTGTTTTTTCTCTCGTGGGCCTTCCCATTGATTTTATTACCTCCTGCTAAAGAGCCCCAAAGGCAGATATATGGATTGTCAAACTGGGTCTTTGCCGTACCAGGCGTCTCCTGCAAACTCCCTGAGCTAAATTTACGACCTCTGTCTGTTTTAGTTTTCTGCCTCAAATGATTCCAAAAGAAAGTAGTTTGTATTTTAACCAAGCTTGCACAAAATGTAATGCTAAATAATGACTATAAGTTTGGATCTAAGAAGTAACTAATTCAAAACATGCTTAAAGAAATATATTTAATTCTAATATCGATAAAATTATTTATAAAAAGTTTTAAGATCCTAGTGAACTTTTGAACCATGCTAAGCAATTTGTTAACTGTCTGGCAGATAGATGCCCTGTCTAAAGAGATTTAAGGAAGTCTCAGTCTGTCTTTCTTTAAGATCCTCCCTATACAATTCATGTAAAATTTTTAGAGTGGCCAGTTTGTTTTAGTTTGGATCTTTATCTAAGTTTGTCTTAACATAAAGATTAGCCTGTGTACTATTGTGCTACTTTTAAAACTCTATTTCAACAATCTCTAAGGGAAATTAAATGTAGCTGTAATTCATTAATTCACGTTGATTTCCTTTTGCTGACTCCTTCAGGGCATGAAGTTCATCCATCCTGTTTGCTGTAATCAGAGTTCAACACCTAAAACCTGGTGACCAAATTGCATTGTTGTTGTTCTCCTGAGGCGCAAACAAAAGGTGATGAAATTATGTCACTTCCTGTTTCCTCACTTCCTCTGTCAGACTGAGAAGCCTGTTTGAAAGGGTTTAAACCTTTTTAAAAACAGTCAGCAGTGAGTTCCTTGTGTTCAGTAATTAGTAAAGCCTCTTATTGATCTAACAAAATCATCTCCCAAACTCTTTTTGCTGCCAGTTAAAGCTAAATATGTCAGCTCTGCTCTATCCAACCACAGCAGCTGCCCATCAGAACACAATATTAACAGCAGTCTTACTTACTAAATCAAAATCAAATCAAATTTTATTTGTATAACACATTTCAGCAGCAAGGCATTTCAAAGTGCTTTACATCATAAACAGAAAAACACAAAGTTATGCATCGTGGAATAAACAATACATTGTTACATATTACATTTCAAAAACAATTCTAAACAGGTGTGTTTTTTAGTTGCAATTTAAAGGAAGTCAGGGTTTCTGCTGTTTTACAGTTTTCTGGAGGTTTGTTCCAAATTTTTGGTGCATAGATGCTGAAAGCTGCTGCTTGATTCTGGTTCTGGGGATGCAGAGCAGACCAGAACCAGAACCTGAGAGGTCTGGAAGGTTGATACAACAACAGCAGATCTTTGATGTATTGTGGTGCTAAACCGTTCAGTGATTTATAAACTAACAGTATTTTAAAATCTATTCTTTGAGCTACAGGGAGCCAGTGGAGGGACTTTAAAACTGGTGTTATGTCTCTATCTTCCCTGGTTCTAGTGAGAACGCGAGCAGCAGCTTCTGGATCAGCTGCAGCTGTTTGATTGATTTATTGGACAGACCTGTGAAGACGCTGTTACAATAATCAATGTGACTAAAGATAAACGCATGAATGAGTTTCTCTAGATCTGGCTGAGACATTAGTCCTCTAATCCTGGAGATGTTCTTCAGGTGATAGAAGGCCGACTTTGTAATTGTCTTTATGTGGCTCTGGAGGTTCAAGTCCGAGTCCATCACTACTCCCAGGTTTCGGGCCTGATCGCTACGTTTTAGTTGTAATAACTGAAGCTGTGCATTGACTCTAGATCGTTCCTCTTTAGATCCAAAAATAATCACTTCAGTTTTGTCTGGAGAAAGTTTTGGAACATCCACACATTTATCTGTTCTAAACATTTATTCAGTGAATGGATGGGGTCAAAGGTCACCTGGTGACATCGTAATGTAGAGCTCAGTATCATCTGCATAGTTATGGTAGCTAATATTTCCTGTTATAACCTGAGCTAGTGGGAGAATATAAATATTGAATAAGAGGGGTCCTAAGATTGAACCTTGGGGTACCCCACATGTGACCTTTGACCTCTTTGAGGAGAAGTTTCCAATTGAAACAAAGAAATCCCTGTTCTTTATGTAGGATTCAAACCAGTCGAGCACCGAACCAGAGAGTCCAACCCAACTCTCCAGTCGATTCAGTAATATGTCATGGTCGACAGTGTCAAAAGCTGCACTGAGGTCCAACAGAACCAGCACTGTGGTTCTCCCACAGTCCGTATTTATATGGATATCATTGAATACTTTTACGAGGGCAGTCTCCGTGCTGTGGTGAGCACGAAAACCAGACTGGAAAGTGTCAAAGCAGTTGGTCATCATGAGGAAACTATTTAATTGTTTACACACAGTTTTTTCAATAACTTTGCTGATGAATGGGAGGTCAGAGGTTGGTTTGTAATTCTGCAATAGTGATTTGTCCAGGTTGTTCTTTTTTAACAGGTTGGTTTGGTTTGATAACTGCTGTTTTCAAAGCCTGGGGGAAAACGCCTGATGTAAGTGAAGAGTTTACTATTTGGATGAGATCAGCAGCAATAACAGGCAGGACTTTCTTAAAGAAATGTGTGGGAAGGACATCCAGACAGCAGGAGCTTGAACTTAATTTACTAAATTTCTTCTAGGGTTTTATAATTAAGTAGTTGAAAATGGGTCATTTTTCCTGTATTTGTTTTCTTTTGGTACAGCAATGATTCTGGCTTTAGAGTTGATGTGCAGATTAATTCTCTGATTTTTTGAATTTTCTCTGAAAAAGCTGGAAAACTTGTTCCATCAGCATTAGATTGGAGTTCAGGTGGTAACATCACAGGAGGGTTTGTGAGCCTGTCAACTGTTGCAAATAAAGTTCGAGCATTGTTGATGTTTTTGTTTATGACAGCTGCAAAGAAAGCCTCCCTTGCATGTTTTAGTGTTAAGTGATAGTTACGTAGTTTTTCTTCATAGATGTCATTATGAACGTGAAGTTGAGTTTTACGCCATTGTCGTTCTACTCTGAGACAGAGTTGTCTTGCAGATCGAACTGTTTGTGCTTTTCTCCATGGAGATTTCTTTCTACCAGATACAACCTTTCGTTTAATTGGGGCAATAGAATCAATGATATATGAAACTTTAGACTGAAAATCATCTACCAACTGATCTACATCATTAAAGGTTAAGGATGAGGAGGAAGAGTAGATTTGATTAAATGTTTCTGCTGTGTTTTCTGTGAAAGAACTTTTTGTAACAGTCACTGTTTGTCCAAGTGGGTCAAAGAATAAACAACTTTCAAAGAGGTAAAGAGCTGCAACTCCATATGTCAGACCAGAGTCCTGAAGACATGAACAGAGCAGCTCTGTAAGATTCTGCAACATCTCTTCAACGTTAGCCTGACCCAATAGATGGAGACTCCATCATTCACCTGCTTCAACAAGCCCACTGTCATCTGGACAGAGCAGGCAGCATGTGAGGATCATATTATTTGATTTCTCCAGCATTTAACACAATTCAGCCTGATTTGGTCTGTGAGAAACTCTAGAAGACACAGATGGAGGCTCAACAATCACCTGGATCTGTGACTACCTGACTAAAAGCACAGTGACTAAAAGTTACCAGATACTCAGCATGTGGACATTTGAAAGGTTTATCATACCAATATAAAAAACCCACAAGCCCATGTGCTTCAGTAAGGAAGCACTGTCGGAGCAGGAATACTTCCTAAGAGTTGTTTTTAAGGAAAAAGATTTCTGGCGCCAGAAAGGTCGATCTGAACCGATTTTATCTGGAAAGTACAAAATGTTGGACCAAAACTCGGGTTGGAAAGTACGCTGTTTAGATAGATAAGAACAACAACTATTATTAATTGACTTGTTTTTCAGTTCTGAGATGGAGCAGATGTTTAGATGAGAGTTCAGTCAGAAATTCGTGGAAACTCCAACACACACTCAGTCAATGGGCAGCCAGAATCTTGACGCAAAACCGACGTCATTGGAAGCTATAAGAATGTCTGTAGACAAAGAACAGAGAGTTTTTGGGGACTTTGATTTTGAGACTTTGAGATTTGAGAAACAATGTTTGTAATGTTTATTTGTAGTAGAATGTGAATAAATCTCCCGACCTGTCGTGGCTGGCAGTAGGAACTCGTCTCTGTGGTTTGTTATGTTTATCTATATTTGAGAGTTTATTCGCCTCACAATTCTCCAATAGCGCCTGCCCAGCAGAGCAGCCCAATTAAACACAGAGATCCACCAGATTCCCTGCAGCAGCAATTAGGAAACACCTGGAGGAGATGTGTGTGTTTGATGAACTTATTATGAAAACTACTTCTGAGTCCAACCCTCATAAGAATGGTAGTAAATGGCATAATGAGAAGCATTGTTGTGAAGACGTGCTGAAGGCAGAGTATCTGTAAGGAACTTCTTAAAGAGACAGGCCCAAGTTCAGCGCTATGCCAATTTTCTTTTAAATGATGTGATAAATATTTTTAAAAAATTATTTTTTCTTAACTGTGCAAAACAATGTGCTATGTGTCTGAAAAAAGCAGGACCTTACTGTTTAAGAAAATCACAAAGGTTTCTGTAGTTCTGGTTCACTGGGTCATAAATACAATAAGATTTGAAACTCTTGCCTCTGATTTACAAACTGAAACTCAATTATATCTAATAACATAAAAGGCAAAGAAAAGTTGGATTAGATAGAAATTTATTTCAAACAAACCAAATTTACAAGAACTGATTTAAACAGAAAACCACTTTATTTAACTCAACATAAGAAATTAAACCCCAGATCTTTAAAAAAGAAAAAAATATTCCTTACTCAATATTTTATTGTCTACATTAAATATAAATGACTGAAAAAGCAGTTTTTAAAGTTATTTTAATTAAAATAAAAATAAAAACTAAGGCAGTTAAACAATAGAAACTGAGCTAAAAGTGATGAAAGAAAAAAATACAATTTACCCAAAATATTTATGATAATCAGGTGAATATTGGCAGATCTAGAAATCAAATCTATATGTGTGATAATCACTGTGATACAAAACTTAACCCTGTTCCCATATTACAGCTATAAGTCTTAATGTACTGGAAGTTGATTGGATCAGAAAAGTTTTAACACATAAACAAAACATAATATATTACATTACCTGCTACCCAGAGATAAAATGTTTGATTTTTGCAGATATGAGCTTTAGTTGTCAGAGTTGCTGTGTTTGGATGAAAAGCAAAACTTTTTTGCTAAAGAAAAAGGTCAACATTTTCCCAGACCATAAAAATAAAATAACTCCAATTTGATTGAACAGAATTTGAACCAGTTGATGTATTTCTGTCCAACATGACAAGAAATACAATTTAACAAGAATAGAGAAAGTGGAGCCATTTCTTGGTCAGTGAAAATTTCATTGATGAACCTACAGAGACAAAAAGACAAAAGATTTAGTCAAAGAGAAAGAACTGAAATGTTACGTGTTTAATTAATCAAATTATAACCTTTGAACCCAAAAGCTGTGATAAAGTCCAAGATTCTCTGTTTAACAGTAAATTACTAATGAGACAAAAATAAATTCAAAGGCAGAATTACATAATAATAATGATAATAGTACTAATCTTTATGGTTTCTAATGCATGTGGAAATTTGCATTTGGTTTTGCATAGAGGATAAAAACACAATAATAAGGACAGTGACAAAATCACAAACTTTAAAACTAGCAACAGGATCAAATTTAAATCTGAATATCGGTAAATATTAAGTAACATTATTACATTTGGGATAAATATACATATATCTTAATATTTTCAGTTGTTTTAACTAATTATAATTGGGGTCATTTAACCAGATCTAACAGTTGATAAGAATACAATCTCTCTCTTTTAACTTCAGAATAATTTCCATAATTACACAACTCAATACTTGCTTTGGCATTAGAAATTACAAACAACCCAAATATTTTTTTAATATTGAGTGATTCCATATTGTCTATAAAAATATTCTAGCAATAATAACAAGAAGCGTCTTTTTGTTAACACTTTATTTGACCAGGTGTGAATAATACTGACATGACATGAAGGCGTCTTTATGAATGTTTAACACTGAAGTTTCATTCGGTAATTAATATTTGTTTTAACGCAAAGTTGCATCAAAAGTCCATTAAAATTGTCAACTTTGCAATAAAAATGTTATTATTTACCGAATGACACTTCAGTCCTAAACATTCATAAAAACTCCTTCATGTTCATGACGGCGTTACGTTATGATTATGAGAGTCATGTCAGTTTTATTCACCTCGACATATAAAGTGTTTCTGTCGTTTTTATGTACGGTTTACAAAGTCAGAATATTCAGTTATAAAGTAGAACAACCGGTTTATATCCATAATATTTTCCTAAGAGTAAAACTGAAAACCATCCTACAAATGTAATGATTTTAGATAAGAGTTTAAAAAATGATCACTTTTATAAAAATGTTGCAAGATAATAAATATTCAATTTTAAACTATCAAACGATTTTGTTTCAAACATGCTTCTAAATTTTACAAGTTCCAAAATATTTTACATTCAGGTCCTATGTTTGATAAAATTAACATTGTTCCACATTAAGCGACTCACTTGCTGTTGTTGTTCTGATTCTGCATTTTCATTTGGAAGAAACTGGGTTTCCTCTGGAGCCGGACCTTTTACTATAGCTGTAATGTCAAGAAATGTGTGATTAAATATTATTTTATAAACCAATGTAAAGAGCACAAAACATCCTGAGGAAACATCCAGTAATATAAAGTAGATAAACTATTGGAAATCACAGAGTTAAGGATAAAAACAGATTGAACAGTGAATTGTTTTACTTACGAGAAGGCGGACGCTTGGCTGAAACAAATAGAAAAACAACTTTAGATTTTGTCTGAAAATGTCCTTTAACTTCTGCCATTCTCTGAAGATACAACAAACCAGTGAACATTTCAGATCAACATGCATTAAATAATTCATATTTCTCCCAAACATAAGCTGGATTTGGTAAATATTTAGTTGAAATTTATACTTTTTGAGATCCATAGTTGGTTTTAGCTGATTCATCAGATTTTATCACAACTAAAGAAAAAACCTGAGAAACTCACTATTCCTCAGCTGCACTGTAAAACATGTAATTGTGTCGACTATCAAATAAATCCTGTGAGTTTGAAGCTAAATGTGAGTTTATGAAACATAAACTTTAAGTAGTAAGTTGTGGAAACTTTATATTAATTTTGTCAGACCTCCAAAAGTTGCATAAACTGGATTTTTATGTTAGCATTTAAAAAATGTAAAGAAAAAGACAGGAGTGGGAACTATTTCCCAGGATGCTTAGCGGCATGTTTTTGTATCCTGTGTGGCACCAAGAGTGAGATGTAAGTGGAGCGACTGTAGTGTGTTATTAGAATTAGAATTAGAATTGTTTTTTAAATGTAATATGTAACAATGTATTGTCTATTATATGTTGCATGACTTTGTGTTCTTGTGTTTATGATGTAAAGCACTTTGAAATGCCTTGCTGAAATGTGCTATACAAATAAAATTTGATTGATTGATTGATTGATTAGGACAATTTAACACAAATCTCAGTTTCCAAAGCTTAAATGTTTTTGATCAGAATTCTAGATTACTATAATGTATAACAGGTAGTTCATTTGCCTTGATAATGTGAGTGAAAGTATTAGAAATAATTGTGTTTCTTCAACTGGGTGAGGGACGTTTTATCTTGCATATTGTAAAATAATTGGTTTAAATTCTGTATTAAATTAAAACTCACAAGATTAATGTTATCAGAACAGGAGACAAATTGTTTCCTGTTGTTAGTTCAACTTAATGAACTTTATTTTTTAAGTTAAACAGTTTTCTTGTTGACTTTAATTGCATTTTCAAGGCAGCAGGTTGACTTTCATTTTCAAGTGAAACATCTTCAAATGTCATATTCAAAGAATATCATTAATTGGACTAGTAAAATATTATCTCAGCAGATTTAGCTCCTCTGATTTTATAGAGAATATTTTTTTTATAATTGGAAATAATCCATTTTATTAAGGAAATAAATTAATTAATCTTTGATATGAGACACTGTTTCAATTAACAACCGAATCAAGAAATACACAGGATGCATTTTGTCATTATTTTATTCAATGGCTGGAGAGAAAGAAAATGACCAATTGTGAATCAAGAGTCACAATTAGTGAGAAAATCTAAATCTAAATTTAAATTTAAATTACTTGTAGGCTATAAAGTCTTGCTGGTTTAAACCGAGGCTAAATCATGATATGTCATCATATTAGCATGTCAGTGTCTATAGTTGATGCATAACTTTAATGTTTAAACAGTTTACCAAGTAATGTTTCTCACTTGGTAAGGATCAACAGTCAAAATATATATTTAAAATAACTCACCTTTATTCTTCCTGTAAATAATGAATCCAATCACAGCAATGAGACCGAGGACAGCAATGAGAGCAAGAACAACAACAGGGATGATCACATCGGGGGTATTTGGTGCTGAGAAAACAAAACAGTTACAATCATGTATAGAAATGTTTCTTTATGTCTTTTATTCTAGTTAATCAAAACATGACCAGGTTTCTGTTTTGTTCATGTTTTGTTTGTCCTGGTTTCTGAACTTCAGTATTTTTCTCTTTAGTGACTATAATTATAAAATGTAGTTTCATGAATAATTTATACAATTTTCAAATGTCATAAAGTTGTTATTAAATGGAGCTAAGGCGTAAATTCAAACTGGGAGACAGAACACAGCTGATCCTCAAACGCAACTGATCTACAAACAGCTGATCCACTTCAATCACTTCACACCCCGCTGCGGCCAATCAGGATCGGCGCCCTTGCGCGTCCCAGCCAATCAACGTCAAGCCGGTCCATTCAAGAAGTCGAGCCTCCGGGGATCTGCCTGCTCGTCAGCTGTGCTTCGCCCACCTCCTCCCCATCTCCACCTTCAGCCCGATGACCATTCTCCAGGCGCCTTACGCGCTCCTCCATCCACCATCATTCAGACCGGGGGGTAAGACTAGTGAGCTTCGCCGGACTCAGCATCTTCCCCCGGCGATCTACACTCAGCGCCAAAGATTTGTTCATTAAAATCTCCTAACTGCTTATTTTTCTCTGTGTGAGTTGATCCAGATTGAAATGTAATGTAAACTAAAACCAGAATATTAACTAAATAGAAAGATTTAGTTGAATTTGATATTGTTTAATACAAAGATTAACAAACAACTGGAGAATATTGCATTAGTAGGAAATTACTTATTTTACATTTATTTTGTGATACATAAGTAGAAAAATCCTAAGAAAAAAAACTGCTTCTGATTCTACACCCTAAACCTGAAAGTAAATCTAAAAACACAATTAATATTCAGATATTGTAATAATCAGATATTTAACAAGCAAATGTAGCATTTTATATAATTACTTACATTCATTGGTCCTGATTCTTGTTTTCTCCAGTCTATTGATGATGTCATCAACTCCAGAGAGCTGAAACACACATTCATACTTGGTTCGGTCTTCCGTCGGATCAGATGACAGATCGATGTGAATGCTCATCTGGAAGGTCCCATCATTGTTGGGCTTGATCTCTCCTTTGACTACACCATCATGAATCTCCTCTCCATCTTTCCTCCAGAACATTTCAGCTCTGTTAGGATAGAAACCCGTAGCGAAGCAGCTGATTGGAGAGGAGGACGACTTCTGGAGGAGAGACACTGATGGACGAACTAGAGACAGAGAAATATAATTAAATATAGTCTGTTAATAATGACTCATGTTCAATGAAAAGTATATTTATTGAAATATGTCGAGCTGAAGAAAACCCTCAGAATATAATCCTACAGGCAAAATGTTGTGAATAAATTGGTATATACATATATGAGGGTTATAAAATGTCTGTATATATAAATAAAACTAGGTTTATAAATGATCAGATCATACAACATGTGACTGCACCTGTTCTCATCAGAGAGCTTCTCCCATAGCCGACATATTTCTTCAGCCACTCAGGACAAATCTGGTTGAGGTAGTTCTTTCTGATCGCCAGAAAAGCTTTGTTATTGTTCCATTTGTTTTTAGTAATTTCAGCCTGTTGTTTTGCAGCAACATATGTGTTTGTCTTCATGTCCAATGTTATGAAGTCTTCCCCATCGTAGCCATGCTGTTCATAGCCAGTAACCTGTTGAGTCTCATCATCCCACTCACAGCCGTATATGAGCTGGAAAATGTGAGCACCTTAAAGACAGAGATTCAGAAATCAAAACTGAAATTTTACATTTTACTATTTTAACAGGTGATTTTATTACTACAAAGCAACAAAATACTTCAGACATTTCAGAGAAAAACTGAAACTGGTGGGAAAAAGTTTCTAATTTGCATTTAGTTATTTAGGTTGAGGACTTTTGAACATATAAATCTCATTATTTATTTTGTTTTTAATGCAAATAGCAAGTTGATTTTTCTGAAGATGTTTTTACCACAGTGAGGTTTCAGTTTCAGTCTAATTAATGAAGAAACCCAGAACCAAACTGGGAACAAACCAGTAACTCAGTCTGGGCCGACTGGTGAGTGGAGAGCAGAACCAGCTGGTCCAGTTCCTCTCCCAGTTTGGATCAGGATGAGTCCAGCAGCAGAACTTCAGTCTGGACTGAGGAGAGTCCAGACAAACTGATCTGATCGGTTCTGGTTCTGGTCGGACCCAGATCATCTACCTGGAGGAACCAGAGTCAGGACAGAACCAGGGATCTGACCGGTTCTGGTTCTGTTGGTCTGGATGAAAACGCTTCAGCAAAAACGATTTTTATTCAGTAAATATTTAAATGATCCAAAATCTAAAATCTGAAAAACCTGGAAGATTTTTACTGTTTTCTGTTTTTATCAGAGTTTAAATTAAAAACATCAAATTTCCTCTGAAGTTTTTCTGCTTTTTTCTTTATTTTATTTTCAAACCACTGATCGGTTCTGGTTCTGGTCGGATCCACATTCACGTCTCTGTTTGGAGACTCGACCAGGTTTTCAGAAAACATGATTTAATGAAACATTTTAAAGGTTTGAGAGTCTAAATGCTGAGATGGTTGTTAGTTTCCTGTTTTGATCAGAAACTGAAGGAAACTTCAGACGTTTCTCTGCTGCTGCTGATCAAACTGCAGCATCTCAACATTTATTATCTCATGTTGGAGCCAAAACATTTCATTTCCTACAACTAAAACCTGCAGAGCAAAACAGACAAACATGCTTTTATATCATGGTGTATTTTCTAGTATTTTTCTGCTGGAAGCAAATATTTTACTAATCGATCGATTATTCTGACGAGTGATCAGATAAAAACAGATCAAATAAAACTTTGGTAAATCTAACATAACAGCAGTTTTACTACTGAATATCAACATCAGTCCAATTTTCACATTTGAGTTTTTCTAACAATAAACTTTCTGTAGTTTATTAAATTAACTCGTAACAACTGCAGCGTTCAGTCGACCTGCTCACCTGGATAAATACACCTGCAGCTCCTGCAGGAGAAAAGCTGCTCAACTCCAGGCACCATTATTTTAAAGATGCTTATTGATCCCGAAAAAAGACCCAGATATTATCACCAATCAATAAAATCCTCCCAGCCGAACTGGAAAACTGGACGTTATGCTGCTAACACTTAGCTTTAGTCAGCAGCTCAGGCAGAAATGAGAACGATGTGCAGCTCAAGTAACGACCCGGCAGGAACTCGGTGCCTTAAATAATAAAATATAACTTAACGAAGCTTCCAGGAAGAAACATTTTCCTCCAGGAAGTTTAATAATCGAGGAACTAGAATCACTCCAGGAATCGTTTCATTTTCTAGTTACTTAAAGTTGTTTGACCATAAAAACTTTAAACATTTAGGAAAAAAGGCTCAACAACTTTTCCAGAGAAAGACGGAGAATTTAAACTGGATCAAACATTCAGGTTCTTAGAAATGTTTTACAAAGGACTTTAAATTATTTATAAGACATTTAGTGTGAAAATGTTTCATTCTGCAGCGTACAGCTTCCCTCAGCTTTGGGGCCTGAGCCCCCGACACCCATCAACCCTAGAACCGCCCCTGGAATAGAGACGCTTTAGTTTTTCAGGGATTTGAACCATTTTAAACCTGGTTAACTCAGAAGAACTTTATTCATAATAAATACAATTAAACAGAAAATATAGAACATAATGTAGAGAATAGAGGCTCCATCTTTTCAACAATAATAAAACTATTGTTGTTTTAAAGTTTCTCAGTTTGGATCTTCAAAATAATTTATTGGACTTTTTGTTAATTAATGTAAATTAATATCTTGGTAAAATGACTCAAGTGATTTTATTAGCAAAATAAAAATTACATCAATCTTTTAATTTTAATTCATATTCTCAAAAAGTCTCTAAATATCAGTTGTTGTTTTTTTATGTGTGTGTGTGTGTGTGTGTGTGTGTGTGTGTGTGTGTGTGTGTGTGTGTGTGTGTGTGTGTGTGTGTCCTATTTCCCATAAGCAACAACAAAATTATCAATAAATGGTGAAATTAACACAAACCTGCAGTTTGGTTGAAACGTTGCTTCAGAATTTCAACGTTGGCTTTGAACCACTGCTGGTAACCCAGATGGATTCCAGTCTCTCTCTCCCAGTACTGCTGATCCGTGTTCTCCCTCATCCAGTCCTGTTTTGGTTCGGCTTTCATTGTGTTGCTGTCATAGTAGAACATCTGAACATCATCAACCATCCCAACAGCCACAAACTGTGGGAAATTTGGGACTTGAGAGGATGCAGTGAGGAAATACTTCAGAGAATGGGAACCTGAAAAAAGACATTAATATGAGAATTTACAACACACCAAAATAATTAAATAATTTTTACAAGTTAAACCAAACAACATATGGAATAATTATAACAACAGCCAAACTCTAAATTAAAGATCATTTCGAAGGTTTTTCATCTTTCTGATCAATTTTGAGGGGTTCAGTTACTAAACAAATTATTTTCTGGAGTAAATATTTATTGTATTCAGTTTTAAACCCAAAACAAGATTTATTTAGTATTTTAAATAATGTTGAGTATTTCTCTTGTAGCTTCCTACTATTTAAAAGCTGGGTGTTTCATCTAATCTTTTGCTTTTCAAAGTATTCCAGAATATAATTGTTGTCATTTTTATAGTTATATAAATCTCCTTTAACATCACCTTTTGAAAGACTATTAAAGACTTGCAGTTTTTCTGTTATCTTTATATAAAATCTAGAAGTATGTTCACTTCAAGCAAAGGTGAAACAACGAGTTTCACTTTTTATACAGGGCTCAAAAAATAAATGCAAATAAATCAGCAAAGCACTAACCAAATCAACTAAACTAAGCATCGCAATGTTTAATGTTATTATTCTAAAACTTCTCTTATATCAATAACAAAACATTTCTCCATGTGGAAATCAGAAATTATTTTATTATCTCATAAAACACTTTCAAAGTCCAATAAAAGTCCAAACTTTTATTGGACTTTATTTCTTTATTTATAAGGAAATATAAGCTGGATGTAGAACCACTGGAACCGTTTTATTTCCTAATCTGTTAGCAGATAAAAACATCTGCTAACGTTTGTCTGGAGTTCATAATTGTTTAATCATGTTCACCACAGTACAGAGACATTAAAAGTGTTCAATGATATTCTTATAAATACGGTCTGTAGAAGAACTGCAGTGCTGGTTCTGTTGGACCTCAGTGCAGATTCTGATCATGTTGATCAGAACATTTTACTGAATCAACTGGAGAGTTGGGTCGAACTCTCAGGCTGAAACACTGAGTCCCTTTAAAACCAGATGTTTAGAGATTATTTTGAAACATAATCATGAAACATTAATCAATAATCTGATGTGCAATAACAGCAAAATGTAATGTTGTTGACTTTGTGTTCTATAACTTTATTTTTGTCTTTCTATGTTGTAAAGCACTTTGAAATGCCTTGTTGCTGAAAGGTGCTATACAAATAATTTGTATAGCCGTGGACTGAGGACTTTAAAACTCACAAACGGGATGGAATCGATCTTGGAGAAGTTACTAGTTTCGGCTCAGTGGAACAACCAAACTAATTTGGATAATTGGGAACTGAGGTGTATCAGAGAGACTTTAGGGAAGATTAAAATGTATAATCTACCAGTGTTGCCTTGGAAGGGCTGCATGTTTCCAATCTCCTTGAAGATATGTAAACATAACGTTCTTTCCCGCCTCACCCCCTCCTGTTATCCATGCAGCTGAGCGCTCTTAAGGACATCATGCCTCGATAACATCTTATCGGACTTCTGCCGGGAGGAAGAGCAACGTGGTTTCATGGCCCTGTGATGTCACTGCCTTCACTCATGTCTTTGTTTTGTCCTTTTGTCTGAATGTTGCCATGTTGCCCTAAGGTGTCCTTTCCTCTTGTTATTTTATTTTTTATAAAACTGTGAAGTACTCACTTTTAACCCAGAAAATTTTTTTTCAGTTTACTAGTAATATCAGAAACTGTGGAGTACGCACTACTTAGATCAATATTATACAGCCCAGAAATGGAATCAGAATCCCAATAACTACAAACTTAGAAACCAGAAATACTTACAGGAACTACTTAGTTACTTTTATACTATTACTTTTTAGAAATTGTGGACGATTCACTTTTAACCCAGATAAGGAATTAGATTTGTCACTTTTTAGTTTATTTTATAAGAAACTGTAGAGTACTCACTTTTCACTATTTAGATGCAGAGACCAGAAGCCCAGAGGAAACTTTTGGATCAACATTGTTAGACTATTTTCAGACTCCTGTGCTACCGACCCAGAAATGGAATCAGACCAGAGAACTAAATAACCCTATATAGGAGCATCTAGTTTACATAGTTTAGATCAACATTGGTCAAGTATGTAAAAAGATATAATAGTAAAATAGATGACAAATATCCTCCTTCAATGCCAATTTTGTGCAGCAGGACAACCAAATGATTATAGCTCATTTTCAGGTTACGGAGCAGCAAACATATGATAAAATGTTGCTTACTGTATTTTTAAATAATAAAAAACTCTCCAAATGTGGCATGTATTTAAATACAGCCTTTTTTATTTATCAGATTTTTAGATATCATCAGTAAACAAACAGCATCATGAACATCAAGGAGCACAGCAGACAGAAACACAAACACCTGAAAATAAAACAATCATGATGTCGTTTAAATGGCTGGTATGGAACTGAGTGAAGATTTGGTTTGATTTTCTTTAGTCATAAAATAATATATTATTATTAATTTATTAATAATAAATTAATTAACCACTTGAACAAGGTCAAGGTTTTTGTTTAGGATCAACACTGTTCCAACAGTTTTTAAGACTTTCTTTTGTTACTTTCTAAATCTTTTATTCTGAACACTTAATCTGATTCTGTCTGTCTTTTAATAAAATCTTTAATTATTTTTATTTTAAAAATCCACCATTGTGTTTTTTGGGCAAATTTTCTTAATTTATATAATTTTCTGGTTTTATTGGAATAACATCAAAAAGGGAGGAAGATGGAGTTGCACATTACTTTGCTCTTGTTTAATTTTATTACATATTACATCAGTCTATCAAGGATTTCACTTAGAAAATGACAAATCGTTCAGAGTTGAGTTATTAGTTACATTTAATCAGTTACATTTACTTGAGTAACTTTTTTGAAAAAATATATTTTTAGTAGTAAAAAGCTGTACTTTTTACTTTTACTTGATTAAGTTTTTTATGAATTTTGTTATTAGTAATTTTATTATTATGTTTCTCCTTTTACTTTAGTAAATGTTCTGGATACTCGACCAACTGCAAGTAACTTCACTGAATGAAGAACAAACTTATTTTACCCCAAATTTACCAGGCACAGACCTGCTGTTTATATTTGAGTTTCATAAGTTTTATATTGATAGAAACTGATTTGAAAAAATATATTTATTTTGCCTTATCTTGTAACATTGTAATTATGTTATTTCTATTAATTATTTTTTATTTAGATCCAAAAAAAAAGCTAAATCTCCACATACATTTATATTTTGGTCCTGCTGATGTACCGTATTTTCCAGACTATAAGTCGCAGTTTTTTTCATAGTTTGACCGGGGGTGCAACTTATACTCAGGAGCGACTTATGTGTGAAATTTTAACACGTTATATCATATCACGTTATATTCACAGTAAACCGCAAGAGGGCGCTCTAGGCCTGTGTTGATAATTGTGGGCGACTCACTTTGTGTTCTACCTCTGAAGTTAGCGGAGTTGTTTGAAAGCGACACTGAAGATGATGACTAAGTGAATTGGAGTGACACAGATGGTTTGGTAAACTTGCTAGCATGTTATTTACGCTATAGTTATCTAAATAACTCTTAATATGTTATGTTAACATACCAGGCACGGTCTCAGTTTGTTGTTTGTCATGTAACCTTAGCATACCGTACAATTACTCAGCCTGTTGTTGCTTCTATTTTATTTTTATTGCCTTTCAAGATGACATGTCTGTTCTTGATGTTGAATTTTATCAAATAAATTTCCCTCAAAAATACGACTTATATTCCGGTACGACTTATATATGTATTTTCCTGCTTTATTATGCATTTGATGGCTGGTGAGACTTATACTCCGGAGCGACTTAAAGTCCGGAAAATACGGTAGATTTTAAATATTAAAAGACTGAAGTCTTGATCAGTTCTTCAGTACTTGAGTGGAGATTTTACCAAATACTTTCTATTCTTACTTCACTAGTTTCTTGGATGGCAACTGATTAATTTTACCTGAGTAAAAATATGTTGAAGTAGTGCTGCTCTTACTTGAGTTCAGTTTTTGGGTCCTCTCCCCAGCTTTGACGTCATTATTAATAATATCCTCTGGTTTAAGTGAGTTCAAGTGATATGAAAAAATAAGCACATTTTGCTGAATAAAGATGCATCATATGTCTTTACAGCCAGGGATGAGTCTGGTGTTTACTACAAGACACTAAATTTTCAGATCATGTGATTCTCTGCATAAAAAGCAGGACAGGGGAAAAAACATGACAAAAATGTAAGTTGGGAGAAATCTGAGCTGAGAATTATTAAACTGAGCAACGAACGGAATGAAAATAAATTAAAAAGTTATTCTTTAAATTCAGTGCTTTGTTTTATTTTGGCATTCGTAGAAGAAATGTTATTGTAACCAGAGAAGAAGAATTAAAATCTAAAATAAACGTCAGATTTTGGTGAAAATTTGAAGACCTTATTTTAGCAAACTTTATTCAGAATGTTTATTGCTCTAGCTTCCATTTCACATATAGCCTAACCATAAGTAACAACGGTACTGAAACTTAAGCACAAAATAATAAACAATTGAAACAATCCATATTAAACAAACTCCTATATGCTATAATGATAAGCCACTGTCCATACTCTGACTATAAATCATTATATGCTGCTATGCTGTTGCTAATTTAATTCATACTAGTTTTACGGAATACTATCACATTCAATAAAATAGAATATACGTTCCAATGAGATTTGTCTGTCAGGTAAACTTTTAACAGAAATGTAATTCCACATTTCTGTTCAAAATTATTATTACTTTATTTTAATCTTAAATGTCTAGTTTACATTAGCTCTAAGCAGAAAACGAACATAATTTGGAGAAATAAAGGCTTGAAAACATAAGTGTCAATTATCTAGAAAATGTGTTTCACTTCATGAACTTAGTTACTAAATAAATGAAACGTTCAATAAAATTGTAATTTATTAAATATGACTGAATGTTCAATGTAATGTTTAGACTGTTTAGTTTTCAAGTCTCCATTGCTAATTGGTTAATTGTGATACTGCAATAGCAATACAGTTTTAAAAAAACAATGAACATATTGAATTGTATGCTTTAACTTTTTAATTTTTCATTTCACTCACCTTTATTGTTCTTGAACACACATTCATACCTCGTCCAGTCTTCAAGATAAATGTTCATCTGATAGGTTCCATCATTGTTCGAGAGGATTTTTCCATTCCCGACACCCTCATGAATCTTCTCTCCATCTTTCCTCCAGGACATTTCAGCTCTGTTGGGGTAGAAACCTGTAGCCTGGCAGCTGACCACAGAGGAGGAAAACCTCTGGAAGACAGACACTGGGGGGTGCACTAGAGAATATATAATGAAAACATTTTTAGTTTCTTTATAAAGATAAACATAATTTCTTTGTAACTAATTTATTAAAACAATGTACATTTAAATAAGCAGAAAAAACTTGATAAGTTGACAAAGGTCATCTAATGTGAAAGGAAAAAGATGATGACTGATATGACAATACAGTTGCAAAGGCCAATAACTCCATCCATCCATCCATCCATTCATACATCTTCTAATGCCCTTGTCCCTAGGGGGACAGGAGGTGCTGGTGCCTCCAGCTAACATTTCGGGCGAGAGGCAGGGCCACCCTGGACAGGTCGCCAGTCTCTCGCAGGACAGGACAAACAGGACAAACAACCACGCACACACACACCTAGGGAGAATTTAGAAAGACCAATTAGCCTAACAGTCATGACTTTGCACTGTGGGAGGAAGCCGGAGAATCTGGAGAAAACCCCTGTATGCACAGGGAGATCATGCAAACTGTGATGGAGACATGTTTACACAAAACAAGGGTCACTGTAGTTGTGTATTTTGAACTGCATAGTGTTTTGCAATACCTGTTTTGATCAGTAAGTTTCTCCCATAGCTCACATATTTCTTCAGCCACTCAACATATTTGAGTTAAGTATTTCTTCTCATGGTCTAAATCATATCTGTTATTATTCCACTTTTGTTTGGTGATGTTAACTTGTGGTTTTGGAGCGATCCATTCCTGTGTCTGTGGGTCCAGTATTATTAAATCTTCTCCATCATAACCAAACCGATCATAACCTTTGACCTCTCCAGTCTCCTCATCCCACTCACAGCCATACATCTGCTGAAAGACGTGAACTCCTGAGACAAAGAGACATCAGTGAATTTAAAACACAATCCATTAATTTGTCCCAATTTAATTGCACGATTTATTTGTGCTCTATCACAAATAAATTCCTAAAGATTTGAACAAATACACTAAAATAGACACTTTGACATTTGCATTTATGGCCTGTTTAGTTTACCATGTGTTCATAACTTTTAGTTGAACAATAACCACAAATTAAATATATACTGCTTTATGTCAAGGCAGTCTAATGTTATGGGTTCTAAGCCAGGAATTGGAATAGAAATGGTTTTTAATGATTCATCTTCAGAATAGAGAGGAACACACAAAAAGAGACTTATTATTGGAGTCAAATTTACTGGATTAAACACAGAGGCAAATATCTTCAGATGCACAATAACTAAAATCATGTGTAAAATTATCACTGATATGATTCGATAATTACACAAACAATGTGGGAAACTTAAAAATATGTGAGATGTAGAAAGTGAATCATGAACAAACCTTCAGTCTGGTCAAAACGTTTTTTGGCAATTTCTAGGTTTTCTTTGAAGATTCGCTGTTTAACCCGACATGTCTCTGTTTCCTCCTCCCAGTACTTCGGATATTCTGAAGTCACTTTATTCATCCAGTCCTGTTTAGGGATGGCTCTGTTGATGTTGCTGTCACAGTAACTAATCTGAACTCCATCCACCAACCCAACAGAGACGTATGATGGGAAGTTTTCTATTCCTGAAGATCCCGTGTAGAAATACTTCAGAGAGTGGGTCGCTGTAAGAAAAAGACATTTCTGAATAATTTAACTTTTCTCTATTATTACTCATCTACGACTGTATTTTTGTGTTTTTATGATAAAACGTTTTGAAATCACTTGCTGCTGGAAGGTGCAATACAGATAAAATTTGATTGATTGATTGATTGATTGATTGATTGATTGATTGATTGATTGATTGATTGATGGATGGATATTAGATGAAGACACGCTAAACTAACTGAAGAAGCGTTAAAATCTGAAAAAACATTGGGGCTTACAATGCGAATTATAAATCCTCAAACGTCTTAAACTTTATCCAAAATGTTTATTAAACTGTGGAATAAGCATAATAAATTAACTAACGGCCATTTTACATGTCGCCAAACCCAACATTGCTGACATAACATGTTGCCATTTTGGACATACTGTTACGGAGCCCGCGAGGGGACATGGGATTTTTTTTCTTTTGCGTTCCCTCGCAAAACTTTTGGTATGCGAGGGAACGCAAAACATGTCCATGTTTTGTCCTCTATGGGGCTCCGTACTCCGTAATACTGCAGCCCAAGTCGATCATCTAGACAATGTAAAAATAATAATAACATAAGGTTTAAAAAAGTAAGAAGAAACTTAACAATCGGTCCATTTTGCTTAATTTCAGACAATTCTCTTTTAAATAAGTGAGTAAAATGTTTAACCTTCTGCATCCAGTACCAGGAACTATCATCAAACAAACTTTAAAAAACACAAAGTTCTTATAATAAAACTAATCTGTAAATATTTGAAATGTCGAACTCACCAGCGGTGGATCCTTCAATTCCCACTAGAATCAGAAATATTAAGGGCGTCATTTCTCCGATGTAGCTTCACATCTTTAGCTCCAGTTTCTTGCAGCTCATTTCTTCCTTCGTGAGAACAGACTGGACAGGTAAACAAGGAAGAAGAGCAGGTGAGGGTGTGTCTGATGTCAGCTTTCAGCTCAGCCAATCAGAGCGTCCTGGATGTAAAGCGTCACTTAAATCTGGGTTAAACAGCCTTACAAATGTTTGAAATGAAAGTGAAAGTTAACTCTGTTATCTGTTGTTAGGTCAGCTTAAATGGAAAATGGAATCTGATTTTTTTCTTCAGTTCAGATGGTTCAGTTTGCAAAGGAAATTAAAATATTAGACACAATGCACTGAATATAATGTTCAATGTAAAAAATAAGGTTGAGCTGTTTTTTTTAAATTATTATTTTGTTAAAATAAGAAAGACTGCATGTCAGATCTAGATTAAAATTTATTTGACAAATTCCCGTTTTTCCTATTTTCCTTTTTTGTAATTATTATTATTTGTCTGAAGTTCTTGCTTATATAGTGTCATTATTTGGTAAAAAAAGAAAAAAGTCACAAATAACAGAAAAATTGTTTTTTAGGTTGGTTTAAAAATAAATTTGCTTGTTAAATGTCTAAAAATATTACACAACAATAAAAACCGTCACAAAATATTTCAGTTAGTCAGCATCTGGTCACAGACTAACCAAATTATAATCAAATTATTGGAAAGTCTCTATTCAATTGAAATAAAAAAATACTTTATTGATCTCTAAGAGAAATTAAATATAGCTGTAACTCATTAATTCACATTGCATTCCTTTTGCTGACTCCTTGTCAGGGCATGAAGTTCATCCATCCTGTTTGCTGTAATCCAGGATTCAACAGCTAAAACCTGGTGACCAAATTACATTATCGTTGTTCACCTGAGGCGCAAACAAAAGGTGATGAAATTATGTCACTTCCTGTTTCCTCACTTCCTCTGTCAGACTGAGAAACCTGTTTGAAATAGTTTCAGACCTTTTTACAAACAGTTAGCAGTGAGTTTCTTGTGTTCAGTAATTATTAAAGCCTCTTATTGATCTAACAAAGTTAAAGCTAAATATATCAAGCTTTGGACCCATTTACACTTTGAAGGGTTCGTACTATTTAATGATTTTGTCTTGTGTAATAGGATGAAAACAAATAAATACAATAGTATATTTATTGTTGTGGGTTTTCTATGAAAACTGGATGAAAGCTAAAAGTAACCAATCATTTGTTTTGGTGATTTTAAGTTGAAGTGTTATACAAACAAGTTACTGTTTTTGTTTGTTTGTTTTTTTACCTACAGCTCAGATTATTTATTTTCTTTTGAACTGAATTCATTTCCCTGTGGGATCTCTACTTATTTGTTTTGCTCCTGATTTGGCTACAATTAATTTCCCGCTAAATGTCATCTTTGGAGCAGTGGCGGAGCCAGAGGGGTGGCCGGGGTAGCACTTGCCACCCCCAACAGAGCCCTGGCCACCCCTACTGCCACTGCACTGGAAATGGTAATTTTAAAATATAATACTCGGCAAAGATTTGCCAGGAAAAGTGTAATTTCCGACTGTCCCTGAAGGCAGCCCGATGCCCGACGCTGTTCATTGGTTAAACTGACATGTGGGTCCTGCTTGATCCAAAACACATCAACGGCTTTAGAGTTACACCGTCCAGGAGTTTTGCAGGTATTTACATTTTACCGCTCAGCGGTAACCGCCGTTACCTTCCTAATGAGAGGCGGCTCTTGTCATACATTTCTAAAAAGAAAAAAAAAATGGTTGTGTACCGCTGCGTAGTGCCTCGTTTATTATATTAGCCATGCTAGTGCTGGTAGGTCGTGTTTTAGACAGATTCTTTTAACATATGTTTTAGTGACATGCTGCCCTCTAATGTTTTATATCTCCCAGCTCTTGCTTGAAATGTGTGTGGTAAGAATATGTGAAAAACCATTAAGTTTAATAATGACTGAAGTGTAAGTAGGCTATGTCATATGAAAGCTTTGAATTATAACCTAACTAGTTATATTAATTAATTTTGAACGAAAGGAAACAAATATTTTTCCTTTTGTTCCATGGAACGGTCCATTTGTATATGGACCCTCTGATAAAGCCTTGCTCACCCTTTGGCCACCCCTTGAAAAAAAGTCTAGCTCCGCCACTGCTTTGGGGTTAATGTGACCATTTTCTTGTGATGAGCTCCTCCTGACCCTGGACTATGAAATTAAATTAAACTATTCAGTTTGATTAAGAAACCCAGGACACTGTTTAGATAGGTAATGATTTCATGTTACCATTATGATAAATGAAAGATATGATTTGAACTTTCTCCTTCTGTCTCCTCTTTGCTCCTGCACACAGGGAAACAGTACAGCTTCAGATGTTTCCATGAACATCTGAACTGAAGATAATTTTGAAGAGCAAGCAATCAGTGTAATCATGGCTGCACATCAACTGCACTGTAGTATTGAGTTTCAGTGCTTTTAATGGTATATAGAGGATATATTGAGTTTATCTCATTCCATACTGTGATAACTGACTTGATGATTGGATCTCTCTCAAACACTGACTTTTCTACAATACTCTAACTTTGCTCTATATATATCAACATGATACTAAATTAATTGTATGAATTTATGAAAATCTGATCATTTAGAAATACTTACTGCCCACCTCTATTTGTTATTAGTTTGTACTCAATGGTGTTGGCTGTTATGGTAAAACTTTCTAATTTTTCCGCAACAATAAAGAAAATGTTTCCAAAAAAGATTTTACTGGTTCACAATATTGCTGCCTGCTGGAACATGAAGGCCTACAAAAGATCACCTTGGAAATCCAAAATGGCTAATGAGTTCTTCACTGAGGGAACGTCCCATTCAAATGAAGGAACTTTTCTTTAATATTTTCTTAATTGTTATTCCTTTTCCAAGACGCACATGAAGCAACAGCACACAGGATCTGTTACGGCCAAACGCCTTGTTCCTGTGTGCATCCACAGCACTGATTACCTTTCTTTTAGAAATGGTTATTGTATCAATGTTATGCTTAAAATAGAGCTTAACTGCTTTTGAATCTGTGATTTTACTAGTGCAGGGACTCTGCACTAATACAGTATTAATAATTTCTATTTAAATCTTTAATACAGTCTTTACCAGAAAAAACTATGCAAATATTGTCTAGAAATTAAATTAGGACGTGTCATCATCACTATAATGCAAATCATACCCCAGTTTTTAATATTCCACAGTTAGATATTAATATATTGGTAGCCACTTAACATATATAAATATTTATTATGTTTATTTATTATGTTACTCTAACCACAACAGTATCTACTATGTCCATTTAAATCTGATTCATGTGTTACATCTTATTTACTGTTATGTTTCCACCCTGTAGTTACATTTTCTAGTTATATATTTATATGTCCACAGCTGGCATATTAATCACTGATTCTTTCACATAATTAAACCTAGAAACCAGACAAAATGGACATAAACTCCACTGGTCAGAATTACTGTTTGAATAAAAAGTTTAGTTTATTATCATTATTTACAGAACGGCAACTTCTTTCTAGACAAAAATGTCTAGAAACTGTCAGTATTATTTCATTTAACGGTATTTGAACCATCCATTCAAGTGAAGTCCAGTTTATTTGTACAGAACATTTCAACAACTTTGTATTTTTGCATTTTGTGCATCATAAATGCACAAAATACAAAGTCACAGACTCAATCAACAATTGTAACACTGCATTTTGTTAAATGCCTTCATTATACATCACAACTTGACACACAGTTGGATAAAGCATCCATTGTCCAACATTATCCGTTGTGAGGTAGGAAAGGTGCTACAGAGAGAATAAAACAAAGATTTAGTTAGAAATAAAGTGATCAAATAAAACATTTAATTACACAAGGTAAATTTACAGAACCCAAAATCTGCGATAAAATCAAAACTGTTTAAGACTAAATTCCAAGTGACCCAAAAATAAATCCAAACAGAAATGACTCAAAATTTAAATGATTGAATTTTCTTGCTTTGAGTTTTTGTCTTCTTTTCTGAGTGTTTTTCTTTTAAAACATTATAATCAGGAAGCAGTTTCTTCATTATAATCAATTAAAACAAACCATCAAATCAAAAATAGACATCAATAACTTTCACCAAGGAGAACCGTCCCAATTTAACAACATCAACAAAATCACAAAGTCTACAAAAACAAACCTAAACAAACTAATATCTTCAACTAATAATCAAATTCTGATCAATAAATGGAAAATCATACCATCCTCATAGATAATAAATTTTGGAATCATGTCTGACATAACATTTTCAATTTTTCCAACAATTCCAAGATATCGCTGATATCTTGGAGCAATAATATAAAATAATCCATAGAACAAACCTCACACAGCACAGGATGCACAACAAGGGTCTTAGAGAATCAGATATTTACACACACTACATTTAATATAACTGATGATGCATGCATTCTGGCTCTATCCACCAAAACCTCTGGAAAGAAATAATCACCAAACTGTCTCTAATCTCTGCCTGAACATCCCACTGTCCCTCTCTCTGCTTACTTGGTAATCTAGATGAACTGAACATGAACTCCATCAGAGCCAAAGGTCCTGACTATCACCAAGAAAACAATTCAGCTTAACTCGAAAAATTAAGAAAAAAATCAGTACCTCAAATGGCTGGATCTACTTACATAACACATATCAATGGAGCATAAAAACGAACTAAAATAGCTCAATAAAATATATTCCATATTTTAGGTGACATTTTATTGCCGGTGAGGAAAAGTCCAAGTGAGAAGAAGGAAATCAGAGAGCCAAATAATAACACTCAGTGTTTTTCCCTTATCCTTTATTCTCTATTTATTTCTTCTTGTTCTTGCATATATTTTTACTTAATTATTTGTTTGCTTTCTTTTTTCCCTCCTTTCTCAACTTTTTCTCAAAATATCTGATTCTAGATTAATCAATTAGAGAACAGAAAAATAATTCAAATTAGAAAATAACTGCCAAGAATACAAGAAAAAATACTTATCCTAATTCACATATAAGTCAGTTTCATTTTTGTTGTGACACCAATTAATT